AGGCGGTCCAGGATTATTGGAAACATAAATTACAGGTCCATCACTCCGCAAACCTCAAGGAGAAATATCACAATTTAATAGTTTTGCCAGTCGAAAAGGTTATTAATTTAATCAAATTTAATATCGGGTGATAAACATATAGATTAATAGGTCTTGGTCTGCCTGCCCACGCAGTTTTTGCCAGTCAGATGCGTTTCGACATCGTCAGTGACGAGTTTACGTGATTTCTTGTTAATAACTTAGCTTGGATAGCTTGATAAGCGAGGATAGGCAGACCAAGATGATATATATGTAGCTACCAAATGTAATATTGACGAATTGGACTTAAAAAACCATGACCCCCAGCTAATTATTGTAGCAGATGAAATAAATCTTGTACCGACCGTCCTATTAGAGAATTTCCAGTTGATATTTCTGCAGGAGAGATTTTTCTATTATGTGTGTGTGCGCGCGCGCGTGTGTATTAATTATCGTTAATATGAAGACCTACTTAGAACTATTCGTTTAAATGTGTCCAGTAGAATTTACTTATCTTAAACGATCAAGCTTCCTTTCGGCATCCTCTATTGTCTCGATGCTGATTGCTATCGTTATTAATGTTTTTACCCTTGAGCGTTTACGGTTTTGAAGCCAGTACAACACAATTTACATTATGTATAATGTTCTTACTTCTTCAAACTTGTAAGTTTTCCTTGTGCCATTTAATTATTCTTGTCCTAGTTGGACTCGAGAATGGGGTAAAAACCTTGCGGTCATGTCCAAATTGAATCTGTGGTCATCTTAAAAAGGAAACCCGCGGCTTCGTTGTTATGGAAATGTAGATGTAGTTCGGGGTGTGTAATATACTGCACCCTTTGACAGCTATCGTCCCCCCCCGTCCTGTACCTGTCACACCGCTCGTAGTTCATCAAGAAATTTAATTAGTAGGTCTTGTTTCAGTGGTTGAAATAAACTACGTTTTCGTTGTACATCCCAAAACTGGCGTTTGTTAAGTATGGGTGTCTCAATTGCTTCTGTGAAAATATGCACGTGCCGTATTGGTCTATACAAACCTTATTCAGGTGCCTATTTCATCTGCAGTGTGCTGTTCTGTTTGTTGCATTCTGTTGTTTCTTTCCTTCCAAAATTTTCTGGGAGGGTTTTTTGGTTGTTTCCTTGGAAGGGCGTTCCTTCTCTCGTTGTCCTCTAATCCCACATGCCCTGCGACCCAGCTTATTAGTTTATATTTTAGTTATATCTATTTAGTTTGGTTTGCAATTCAGCACTATCTATAAGCTAATAACGTTTGAACTTTGATTGCTATATGACATGATAGCTATATTTGTATTTGTGTACCCTTTGTTCAAGTTGAACTCGATGTATGTCTGAATTGCATGTATTGGTTCTGAATATTTGGTTCCAGAAAAAACTCCCTGCCCCCGTGCCTTCTGCGTTCGCAGATGGTTCTGTTCTCAACTAGGGAGAGGTATTTCCCTCTTTCCCCTTCGTTGTTATTCCATCATGCAATATCGGAAATGGACCTTCATTGTGTACTTTTTAACTTCGAACTGGAACATGAGACATGATGCTTCACGTATCAATGTGCAAGTCCAGAATCGAAAATAAATTATTTTAGCTTAATTTTTTTTAATGAAGAATGAAATCTTCTATTCATCAAATCTCTAAAAACTAAATTTAACTTGCATAAAATCTTCTATCCACATAGTTACTTCATTGGTAATGATAACCCTGTGAATAAAAATTTGTCCAGTTAAAGTATTGCCTGTAATTCACACAATCAGTTAAGCGTAGTTTTATTTGTAAGAAATTATTGTAGTTTTTGTCCGAAGTGTTAGACATCAAAAGGAGATAAAGGGAAGTTTTCTAATTTTCCAGAGTAAACTGCCATCTCATTAAATCCCGTTCAAGCCCAAGTTTCAAAACTTATTGAAACAAGCCTTTTATAAAAGTTATACACATTTTAAAAGCTGTAACAAAACATTTTCCCTGTCTTTGAAGACTGTTTTAAATGTCGTGCGTTTGATTTTCCGCATTGTTAAAATGTTATATGCGAATTTTTTAATTTTTTTTTTTATTTTATGGGCCGTAACTCATTTCAGCCAGCTTTGAGAACCCTCTTATGAACTTTTTCCCGTATGAACAGTTTCGCCCTGAATGGAATCAGCCCGTCTCCGCTCCATTGGGTGTCTATTTTTGCGGAAAGGCTTTTCTGAACACGCATGATTGAGCTGACGGTGTCCTCAAAGAACAATACACCTCCTATTTACCAGCATCATGAGGCAAGACGAGTTAAATTTTTGAAAAATAACATTTTCCCGTATAATAGCTCTTACCTAACCGTTCATATAGTTTTGTTTCCATACTAACATACATTATATGTCCTAAAAACCGCATCAGTTCATGCTCGGAATTACAACTGATACTGAACGAATCAGTAGTATTAAACTTTTTAGTAAAAGTGCTAGTTTAATCGGTTACATGCTGAAACCGCCTGCTTTCCAATAAATACACAAGTTAAAAGATTAATAATAATAAAAATCTAATCGTATTTATTAAAAAACCTAGATGTCCAAGTTGTACGGAATCCAGAGAAAATAATTTCAACAAAGCAAAAACTTCGTAAATTTAAGTTTCCTCGGTTAAACTCCATAACCACCCCCTTCCCTCAAAAACAGAAAAGGTCGAGGTTCGAAACATATATATCCTTTCCCTTTCCTCCAATCCAGCCTCGAGGACATACCATATCCAGGGTAACTGCAAATAACATCGACTGGCCTTCGTCTTGAAATATAAATACAGTACTCAAGTTGTCCATTTTTAGGATAAATAAATTGCCGATAACTAGGACATTTGTGTGCATGTCTTTTCATTCGTATCATTCATCATTGGAAACAAATTGGCCAAATCCGTTGCTCCTAAGGGTTTCGTTATGATCATATTGCACATTTCAAAATTTTACAGTATATAAAGTGTTGAAAGCAGCTCTAGGGATTGTTTTTGGATGCTGAAGAACATTTTTGTGGGATTTTTTATATGAANATTATTTTGATTAAAGAACATTGCTTTAAAGTAACTAGTTTCTTTTTTTTTGTTTAATACCAAAATCCTGCATTATTTTCCGGACAACCCAATATACATTTTTGATAGTCATGATTTGTACGTTATTTTCGTTGATGTAGCGGAGTTTTTATTGTTATAGACAATACATTAATTTTTTATTGTAAAAAAAAAACTAAAATAGGATTAAACTGTAAAAATGTATTTGTAATTAAAAAAAATGCATAACACGTACGATAATTATTTGATAGGTTTACTGTTTTGAGAAATACCGTTTATCAACCATGATCTTTATCATACTTTACGTAATAGTTCGATTGGAATATCGCCAAGAGTTATTCAACCTGTGTTTGCGACCTCAATGTTGGACGCAAATTTTACTTCATATCCAATTATAGGCGTAGGTAAAAGTAACCGTGGGTTAAGTTAATCAATTTTGTCATTGCTCAAATTAGTTGAAACCGGTTTATAATATATCCATTACATAAATTGATCTCACTTTGGGGATAGTTTTCCCCAGTATAAACTGTGCCAAATAGACGACATGTTTTTTTATATTTTGATCAATTTAGAACAGTTGTGTTATTCTTAAACGTTCTTGGTAATGTAAAACAATTACTGGGAAATTAGATGTCAGGATATATTAACAGTGTGAGGCAAGACGTCAAGTACAAGTTATTGCTCCCGTGGCTTTTTCCGGTTCATCAGATTGCCGTTGCTTTTGAAACCATGTGTTTTATAAGATTTTGGGTTATAAAGCTCAGATTCAATAACTTGTATGTAGAACAATTATAAAAGTGTAAAATAAGTAACGTAATTCCTGTCATTCGGGAGGGCTTAACGTCCAACCTACCCTTTGGATGTCGCGTCCAGGAGGTCAAACCACTTAACAATACTTCTTTCATACTGTTTTCAATTAAAAAGCCATGGGATGTGTCAGGATTCGAATCTAGGGCTACTAGCGTGGCAATACAAGCCAGACGCCCTAACCACTCGTCGACCGTGGTTCCAAAAGTAAGGTAATTCCTGTCATACAAGAGGTCCAACTACGTTTTCGGTGTTGTAGTCTACAAGTCAAACCAGTTTAGAAAACGTTTTTCAAGACATTTATTAAAAAGCCATGGGCTGTGAGGGGATTCGAACCGCATGCATGGCAAATGCGAGTCGGACGCCCAGCACTCAGCTACCAACTTCAAAGTGGTACAAGGTTCCTGTAGTACAGCGCAATACCGTCACTACCCTCTATTGGATATATTTATTCGCACTTCTTGTTCTTTTCAAAAATATGTCAGAAAACAGCGAAAAAATCAGTATTCTGACGTATTTCTCAAAAGTTATCATTGCCTTAGTAGTGAGATGACGCGACATCAGGGTTATAAGTAAGGCGAGGCAAGACGCTGAAGCAAACCCAATACCGGAGTGTTGTTTTATTACGGTTGATCAATATGCAGTATTGTGATTTTGAACTCCATCCATATAGCAATTAATTATTCTTTTTATCTAAGTGGGATTCGAACCCACGACCTTCAGCTCAATATACTGCTGCTTTAACCACTATCGTGACTTCTATCCATATATTCCATTGAATATTTTGAGTATAAAAGTCAAATTCAAAAGTCCTGCCTTCCATTAGAACAATTTTCTCAGCTGCCGCCCTCGCACTTAGTTCTCTTTTCACATTCAATTTATTTTATTTTAGCAAATGGATGCAAAGACTCTAGGGGTACATCTTTGAATAGCAAGTGAAACAAGTTATACAAATAAGGGAGTAAAATGATTCTTAATAATTAACTAAGGATTAATATGATGTTTTTGACATGACAAGGGCTTAAAAGTTTAAACCTTTCTTCCTAGTTTGGTTTAGTACAGGATCGACATATGCAATAATAATAATAGTTAAATAATTTGCCAGCATTGTTCTTAATATGTGCCTGTTATTTCAGGTGAGTCAACTGCCTATGCTTCTTGGATTAAAGAACAGAAAGGTGAGCAAGCAGATAATTCATTCCAGCATTTTCCGTTCACTCTCTTATTTTTCTTCTTATTACATATCCATTTGACTCGATTAAACAGGACTTAATCGTGTCTTCCTTAATAACACTTTCAAGCACACACGTGCAATAGCGTAATGACTCAGGTTTGCTCTTGAATTTTCAAAATGTGTAATTATTATAATCATAATCATTATTATATAAATAATAACTTCTTATACTGACTCAACTCTCTAAGAGAATATCCTGGTTTTATTTGAGCGTTTTCAATTAATAAATGAACTTTTTTTTAAAGGCAATTTTCCAAAATTGATTCCAGCTTTAACAACATAGATTTATATTACAAAACTGGGCATCGTTCTTATGGTCGAACGTAAAGTTCAAGTTAAGTTTCTCCTTTTATTTAAAGCTTTTTAAGCCCGTGTAATGGTGAAGAGATCCTTTAATTAAATGATTTGTATAATTTGTTCCTTTTTCACTAAGTCCTGGGTAAAAATTGATTGATATGAATAAAATGAAGAAGAATTTTTTGTTGGGTTTGCAATAAAATTTGCCCTGTAGATTACCGAATAGTCATAAGATGGCTTGTGAAAAAGTCACGTCTCTCTTTCAAATTTATTGACTTACAAGCTAAAAGCACGACAAAAGATTATTGATCTGCAGAGGAAAAAAGTGCAATGCGCTTAATGAGCTCCCAGACGGCATACTCCTTTTTGCTGAAATCCAGACGTTAGATGAACACAACATCAACAGAGGAAACTACTTGAAAGAAAAGGAGAAGAAATGGTTAACACTATTGACAGACTTTTGACCATTTTCCAGTATGAGCTACTGGAATTAAATGTATTAATGCCATTTTGTTGTTTCATAAGCTCAATATAGCAGCTTTCTGGCAGGCATGAATGAACTTAGTTCGGTATTTTCCGATAGTCGATCAATTTAAGAAATATTTCATATTGGTATTGACATCATTAATATTATATTGGTTACTCAGATATCGTGAGATGCGGTCGGGTGGTATTATTATTATATTAGACATACTGTTGTCGAGTTATGTTTTATTTTATTTATTTATTAAAAAACTGGCATACACGTATGTATGTTACAATCCTATGTGTACTTTTTATTCCAAATAATTTTTATTTTATTTCATTATTAGTTTATGAGAAATAGGTATATTGAAAGTAAGTTTTATGCTAAGTAAGTCAAAATGAATATGTTTTTTATTATTACTTTTTAAGAAGTTCCTTTTCTGATTTTTTTTATTTATTGAACTAGTACTTAATTTGTTTAATCGTTCACCGAAGTCGATCCATGGCGCAGTGATTATACCCGGTTTAAGAATGCCATGGATTGAACCGGCAGGCTTTTTCCCCCGTGACCATCTGACCATCGATCCTTTTGATGAAAAATGGGCATATGGTGTCGTTTCTCACCCTTAACTCGCCACCAGGGCTGCAATTATCCTACAACGTTCACTTTTTCGCAGGTGATCCACACGAGACACATATCCATGTGTTTGTTGCTAACGTGGGGGCACATTTTAACCTTTCATTTTGTACAAAACATTTCCCAATATTTATTTCAGATCCAGCTTTGACAATTTTTCAATTCTGAAATTTATCGATGAGAATATTGGACGTTCACTGCGTGCAATTCTTCGGCAGCACACTGCAGAAATTTATTACCACGCCCAAAATTTTATATATTTACGTTTGAACAGGTTTCCCCTGCTTTCATTTTTATATTCCTATATGAAATACAACAGAAGAAACTTTCAACAAGATTCTCGCCAGTGCTTTACTTTGAAATTAAACGTTTTATGGTTTTTACCTGCAATGAACTGCAAACAATTTTCCGTTTTTTTATAATACAACACTCAATTTGAAATTATATTGAAGATTGATTTATCGACTGGAATTTAAATGATTTTGGTTTTTAATTATGTTTGTTCTAAACAATTTCGGACCCTGATGAAATATTTCTTATTTTGTTGTGCTTTATGTAAATGCACTTTTAGGCAAGAAATTTGTAGATTATTTTTTGTCTTTTATTTTTTATGTATTCCTTCACAAAAGCTCTTAAATTGAAAATCTTAGAATGTTTCATGTGTATAAATAAATTCAACGACTGTGTCACGCTTCGGCTCAGTTGAAAGCTCCTTCAATATGGTCATTTTTCTTTTACAACTTTGTTTTTGTTATTTTAATTGGGCACATCTGTTTCAAACGGCAAAAACAGTTCTATTATGAAAGCAAAAAATGCCCGATAGGCCAATAATTTACAGAATGCGTCATTTAACAAAAATAAACTGTTCACAATGGACATTTTGTACCATGAATCGTGGTATGTTGATATAAAATCGAGAAAAGAATTTCATAAATTTAGGTGTTGATACTTGGGAAGGTCAATTTAAAACTCATTTTACTTAGATATTTTTTTGATATTTCAATTTTAAAGTAAGGTGTAACAATCGACATTCCCATAAGGGCAAATATTACTCAAATCCATAGGTCATTTCACACGGTGCTGGCTTTCGTCGTGAAAGCTGAAAACGACCGTTTGCAAAACATTTCGCCCTGATTTTGATCGATAAGCACTGTTGAGATCTGAGGTTCACGAGTGTATCCTAAGTATTTTGCATTAGGGGTGCAAGTCTCATCCCCATTTTCCCTCTCGCAACTAACGATGCTGCTAATTTAAAAAACGCGTTAGTTGTTGTGTTCCCGTGTGTGTTCTGTGACCATTGTACAAGTATTTGTATTGACTGATTGTACACATAGCAGAACTACTCAAGTGAAATGCTCCATCGTGACCAAATAAAGTTTCAAATCATTCTACGACATATTCTGCCTACTGGGAGCTCAACGATCGTCAAGAAAGCTTTATTGGCCTTATAACTCGTTTTCTACCTACGTAAAACCAGTGAGTGGTTACAGGTTTTTGTCAAACTTGAATTGCCAAATGGGCTCACCTTGAATACAACCCAATAACAGTAACTACGTTATTGAGAATCAACACACGAACTACATGACCGACTAGTCTTAAAACGTAGAAATGAAAAATTTACAGGGGTTTCCTCTGTGGATTTTCTCCCAAAGTTATCAAAGGTGACAAAAATCTGATCCTTCCACAACTTTTACATATAAGCTTAACGGTTGCATGTCTTGTGTGGCTGATTATCGCCCATTGCAACACAAAGTGTTTAATGTTGGACATGGCGTTGACGTAATTAAAGCAGAAAAGATGTGTTTTTTAATGTTTAATAATTGCTTGTCGGATAAAGCGTTTCCGGTTTGATCGGACCTGATATGCTCGAGTGAATACATATTTTTTTATTGCTAGTACGCACACGAACTAATTTTTGTACAGCTCATAACGCTGATTTTGCGCGTGTTTATACTACAAAAATATATATATATATATATTTTTATAAACAAATTTCATTTTTTGACATGAACTGCAAGTGGAAACGAGCAAAATACTCATTTAAATAAACTTTATAATACAACATTATAATATATATATATGTATAACTATAAATGATTTTGTATGGGTGAGGTTTACATATTTCCACTGTGCATTTCATTTCAGCTGTACACCGGAGTACACTGTAAAGCCTTTTAAATGTAAAGATCAATATTTCAAAATTCATATTTAATGCTGAGATAAATTCAGACTTACTCTCAGCCTCTCTTATGTTTTATTGTGTATGGCTGGAAAATTTTCAACTCCATTTACAGTCCAACATACAGCGATTATTAAATTAAAAACACCCCTCGAGATTCAGCTCTGATTCGCCTTTTTTTGTTTTTCTGTAAGATCTGTCGAATTTTGTGTACAAGACGATATACAAGATAATCGGTAAACATGGACAAGAGTAAAAAAAAAAAAACCGGCTTAAGGAGGGACATAGCCATAGCCGCATAACGGGGTAGGTGAAATCCCCTGAGGTAGAGACCCTAGCTAGGGTCAGTACGTCGTGAGTGAAGACCCTTCTGGTCCAAAGTAAAAACTGTTTTCCTCCAGGCCTCGTACTAAAGAGGTTCAATCAACCGATTTTCGTACTTAGCAAAGTTCTTCTGCAGATTTTTTATTTCGGCAAATCGAAATCGGATCTGTTGAAAAACGACGGAAAGAATTTAAGATCGCTCAAAATCATCGACGCGTTAAATTTTATCCTCATCATTTTCCGACCGAGAAATAATTTTTTTTCGGTTGGGTGGAATTTCACAGGTCATGGGATGTGTGGTCATCGGTAGGACGCGCTATTGAGCTTCCTCTTTCAGATTTTCCACATTCTTAAACAATAGTTTTAAAACATTTGTAAAACTTTTCTGTTTAAATTATCACATCTACAAAAATTCAGTTTAAGCTTTTTATTTAATGATTGTTACTTGTTCTTTTAAATATAAATATGCAACTATACTTAAAAAGCGTGTTATTGAGCTGAATTAAGTATAAGTAGTAAGCCTGTTTAAGCACAATGAAACGTCCACAATAGCCCTGAACAGCAGTACAGATTTCTCTCCATTCAGGCTTATCTTTTATGAATTAACAAACTTCCAAAACTTTCCTGAATAGCTTTGCCATTAATGGTTAAATCCAAGCATATTTCGAATACACACACAATGATTTACGTTACCTAATATAGATTTCTGCAAAGTCTGTTAAAATGTAAAAAATCGCGTGATTCTGAAGATTATTTTTGTGCTGATGTCTGTCAAATCTCAAATGAATCAGCAATTTACTATTCTGGAATAACACTAACTGCAGGAATCTTAAATTTTAACATAATTATATTAATAAAGGGCAACTTACTTCACTTAGGTACACAGATAATATAATGATCATTTTTTTATTAACTAATTTTAATTATATTTCAGTTCCAGTCTTAAGGTTTTAACATCTTTATTTCTTAACTGAGTGATTTCGCGAGGTAAAATTTTGTAGAATCATAAAACCGTGGTTGTTTTTCTGATTCAATTTTTCCTTTGTCAGTTCAGTTAGGGAAATTAATAAACCCGTCCCAGTTCCGCCCAAGAAAAGCTCATAATTTAATTAAAATCTCGGATTCTTTTCGTGACATGTAAGCTTTAATCCTTCAGTGCAAAATAATTTTTAGTACCTCACTGAAGTTGGCGCAATGCCGAAAAGCGTTTGAGTAATCAACGAACCCACTAGTGAAGACCCAGTAAGTGACCCTCTGCCGGTTAAGTATGAGTTCACCACTCGCTCTTATATTATTTATTTAGTTTGTTTGCACTAGAGTGAAATTTTCATTATGAACTAAACGGTTAAAGTCGTTTTTGTAGTTGTGATGGTGCAGGTACAGCATTTCATTTCTTAAGATAAAAGTTACTATTTGTTTTTATTAAGTTCTTCAGCGATTAAACACTGACAGAATTTACCTAGTACAGTACTTACCTTAATGACTACTTTCTGGTTTGCACCTGATAAAGATCTTTCAAAACTGTAATTTAGGTAGACTACAATTTAATATTTTTTCTTGTTATCTGTGTTGCAGAACAACCGAGATACGACACTGCATACGCTTGTGAGGGAAAGACTCTAAGAATCGACTGCAAGGATGGCGAATTGATCAATTTAATTCGAGCCAACTATGGCAGGTTTTCAATAACCATTTGCAATGACCACGGTAACACCGAGTGGAGTGTTAACTGTATGTCTCCAAAATCACTGCGAGTCCTCCACGCAAGGTACATGTTTTTATTTTTTATATTAGGATAGTAAATGTACAGTTCTTTGGACAGTCCAACCGAATAACTGCGGGCGCGCTCCGATGAATACGTCAATGAATAAAAATAGCGTTTTGACAATCAATCATCATCGCCTTAAAGCATTTATAATGCATTGCTCGCAGGGGCGTCTGTGGCTTCAATGGTTTAGGCGTTGACACGGCGTTCATCACTGTGAGGTAAAGGTCCCGGGTTCAAAGCCAGCGCCCCTGCATTCGAACCCGACATAATTACAAATGGGCTTCTTTTTCAAAAACTCCGGCTAGGGTTTAAATTTCTTCCAACGAGTGAATGAAACACAATAAACATTTAACGTACACACAATAAAAATTTAACGTATCATAAACATATCGATAAAATTAAAAACTCAAACAGCATATAGATAACCTTTGACAATCAACCGATGTTTTAAAGAATTTATTAATTCCTTCACTACCCAAATAAACGACGTCATTTTCGAACGAGTCATTGGTAAAATTATCTTGATTTGGGTTTTTAAAATTAAATGATTATCCATGAAATTCACAGCTCATTTAGCCTTTAGGAGTTATTTTATTATTATTATTTTCTTTAATTGTCCAATTTTATGAACCTTTCGACCTGTTTGCTTTGATTATGTTGAGGAGAGGATCCATATCAGCAAGTGTGGTGGAGGAGCTGAGTGAACCAGCTAGTCTTATTTTTACCTTTATCAATTTTATATCACATACTATCCAAATTAGATTATGCTGAACGAATGATTTACCAATTTTATTGCTACTGTAGGCAGGGCAATATGGATTAGGTAATGTTATACTTAGCACAAGAAAAATGTAGACATACCTAACATTTAATTTTTTTAGTAGTGAAGGGTGGAGGTGAGGAATTTTACTAACAAAAGAAATTCTTAGAAAATTCCTATTCTCTAATCTGGTTTTGGCCTTTTGTGTGACTCTCTTTCCCTCTCTCTGCTGTTCTATCTCAAATACACACTCTCAAAAAACTCCCTCTCCCTCCTTCACTGCCACTGTCTTTCACTCATTTTCTCTCTCTCGCTCAGTCACTCTTTCTCTCACTAACTAACTCACTCAATCTTTCGCTCACTCACTATCTATCTCTCACTGACTGACCCACTCACTCGCTCGCTCGCTCACTCTCACTCTCTCTCCTCTCTCTCTCTCTCTCTCTCTCTCTCTCTCTCTCTCTCTCTCTCTCTCACACACACACACACACACACACACACACACACACAGAGTCTCACTCATTTATTCACTCTCTCTCACACTCACTCACTCACTATCTATCTCTCTCACTAATAATGTAAAGTGCCTATGAAATTGAACCACTATTTCTGGAATAGTGACTTATGACTCATGATGAATAACTCGACACTGGAAATGATTGGGTACCCTGAATTTTCCCCCGTGGCATTTATCAATGAAATTGTAGATTTGGCTTTATTTAATTATGTATAGTTTAAGGAATCGATGAATTTGAACATTTTACAAAATAGGAAAAACCTTTTGACCGTCAATCATCATAAAGCATTTACAAGGCACCCACTCTGCAAACGCTCGGTTTATTTCGATCAAGAGATATCAATAAATTTTGTATAATGAAATTTGGACGAGTGAAAATGAATGGCCTTTTAACAGCAATGAGAATTACCTTAAAGGATGAGCAAATACTGCTCCATTTTTCAAACAAGTGGGTGTCTCATTCCGACATGAAAAACGTGTTATCCATGAAATTAGAACAGTTTTTAGAATATTGAATAACCGACCTTTGCCAATATTACTCCATTCTCAAAATAAGTGGGGTTTGTCATTTTCTGACAAGTACATACGATCAGTAAAATTCACGTTTCCAAGAAATTTGGACATTTATAGATGTAGAAATGCTGTAATTATTATTACGTCAAATCATTTGTACCTATTACTCTACTTTCTAAAAAAAGTGGGATTTTCGTTTTCTAACAAGGAATTTTAGCCGTATTTTCATATCCATGAATTTAGAACAGTTTTTAGTATATGACAAGCCTTTTGAAACTCTGCCATCATTGTCTCAAGGCATTAGCAAACATTACTCCACTCTTCAAACAATGGAGTGTATTTCCTATTAAAAATAAATAAAATAATTTTCTTTAACGTGCGTATGCTCTAGAATAGGAATTACCTTTAAACGTTTGCAAATATTGCACCTTTCTCTTATTCAGCAGTGATTCTGCCTAATTCCAACGAGTGGGAATATAAAAAAAACGTGTATCCGTGAAATTGGTTTCTAAATAGAAATAGCCGTTTTGACCAGCGACAGGCATTGTCTTTAAATATAATCGAGCTTTAAACCAATCATTGATTCTATTGATATACAATGGTATCTCAGTAATCCGAACTAATATTTGCAGATTATTGAAAAATTCAGATTACAGAGGGTGTTAAAAAACACAACATATGTACAAACAAACAATTTCAACACAACACTATTATTATTGTAATTGTTAAACGTGCTATAGTACATATACTGTCAATTTTTGTTTTTAAAAAATGTATTTAACATTTTCTTCATTGCTTCTTCCTCATTTTCTTTCATTTTAAACCAGTAGGTTTATTATACTTAGCACAATAATAATTTAGGGGGTGAGAGATTCACTGAACAATTCCTATAGTCTAAACTGGTCTTGCTGTCTCTCTCCCTCTCCCTCTCCTCTTTTCTCCTCTCCTCTCCTCTCTCTCTCCACTCTCTATCTCTTTCTTTTTCTCTTTCTTTTTCTCTTTCTTTCTTTCTTTCTTTCTTTCTCTTATTCTTTCTCGTTAAGTATAATAAAGTAATAACTATCTCCCTCACTCATACACTCACTAACATACTTTCTCTTATTCACGTACTCACTTTGTCTCTGTCTCTTTCTCTCTCTCCCTCCCTCCGTCGTTCTCACGTACTCTCTCTCTCTCCCCCATGGGCCAGTGCATAAAATCTGTGCACTGCCTAAATGCAAAAGTGTCGCAGGGAAAATCTTCACGAGTATCTTTTTTATATTTCTGTTGCTTTATCCTTTTTAAGATCTCGCCTTTCTCTTGATTTCTCTTTTTGTGGGGGCTCATTTAAAATCCGTGTTTTATGTGACTGAGCCGCCGTGCGGCGGCCACATTGAGCATATCCGGCAAAAAAAAATTTTTGTGAGCCCATTTTTTTTAGTTTTTAAAGCTTTGCTAATACGGCACATATAAAGACGGTGACGATGTTGGATCTATCCATCGATAAAATAATATCCGCTTATGCTTTATTTATTTGAATAAATAAAAGTATGATACGCTGTTTAGCTAGTATTAAAAATTTTTTTTGATCTTTTTAGCGTACCCTAAAAATAAGCCGGCTAAATTATTGTTTTCCCGATATTGTTAACTTTATTGGATTAGTCAGAAAATGTTTATTTAATTGTTGTTTTCATGACTGTTTATTTATTTAAATTATTATTATTATTTCGTAATTTCTGTAGCAGCACTGCCCCCATACGGTTTACAGCAATTTTTAGAGCGTAGCCAACGTACATGCGACCTCGCAGCAGCGATTCCGTTTCCCTACCATTAATGGAAAAAAGTACTTTTCTCAAAGATAGATGCAATTATCAAGAATGGAAAAAACGACTTTGCTTACCAAACTAACCGAAACTAACCGAAATGAACAATGCGAAATAAGGAAGGTCCATCCAATACCAAGTGGTTAATGTTAATAGAGAGGTTGGTTCATTTGGCATTCCGAACTTGTTATATAAAATCCACCTTTTCTCTGTTATCTCTCCTGAGCTCGATGCGATCCCTTGGAATTTTTCCTTCTTCCGAACTCCAGTCGAACATGCGTTCTTCTTTACTTTCTGATCAACCCAATGCAGTGCTCTGTTAGAAAGCCTATCTAATTGCTGAGGGGGGGGGGGGTTGTAAAAACTACTAACTACTACTGGTACTGATGTAAAATGCAGACTACAGGGGGTGTTAAAAATAATACATATATACAAAAAGTGTGAGGGATTCACTGAATTAAAAAATTTGTAAAATAAGAATAGTTTGAACTGGTCTGTTTTTCGTCGATTCTCCCTCTTACACTCACTCATTCCCTCTTACTCTCTCACTCACTCTTTTTCCTTCTCCCCTTCTCTCTCTCACTCACTCTCCTTCCCCCTTCTCTCTCTCACTCACTCTCCTTCCCCCTTCTCTCTCTCACTCACTCTCCTTCCCCCTTCTCTCTCTCACTCATTCGCTCCCCCTCTCACTTTTACTCTCACTTACCCACTGACGTACTCTTTCACTCACTCACTCCCCCTCTCTCACTTACTCACTCCATCTCCCCTTTCTCATTTACTCATTTTCTCTCAATCAGTTTTCTCTCACTTTTTGTCACTCTTTTTATCTTTTCCCCTCACCCCATCTCCTCTCATACACTCATTCTCTCTCTCTCTCTCTCTCTCTCTCTTTCTTTCTTTCTTTCTTTCTTTCTTTCTTTCTTTCTTTCTCTCTCTCGGAATTACGGACTACCTCAGCCCGAAATAGGTTTACTACTAGGAAAAAAGAATAAATAAACAAAGCTGTCAAGAATACGAAGAAATTGGAATAGTCAGATTTTTTTAGCCTTTCTTTCCAAATAAGATGCATATAATTCCCTAAAGGATTATTTACAAGAAACGGACCCCTGCAGGGTGTCCACCTCTGCGTACCGATCCAGCTAACATTTGAGAGCCGCAATTCCTCAGTTGACCGTCGGCACCGCCAGCAATCATTGCGGCGAAATAGCGTCACTGCTTGCATATTTTTGCAGGTCAGCTCACCCTGAACAAAGGATAAAAACACTACCACCTGTATCATTTACTCTCTTATCCCCCCCCCCAATGCATTGGATCTTACATATCGTTAATCAACCATAATCCCACCTTTATTTTATGTTAATTATGCTTAAAGAGAGAGAAAAAGTAAATGGACATATGCACATAAAAATATCAAGTTCCACTTTCGAACTAAATTAAATATTATACCCTTTTTTTTAATTAGCACTATACATTTTCTTGGACCCCCTCGGTTTTGTAAGCTCCTGGGATTTCTTCATGTAGAGAAGCTTCCAGTGGTGGTAATAACACACTACCAGGTCCATAATTAAAGGAAGTAATTCTTATTCTGGTTCTTCCTTGTAGAACAAACTTTGTTAACACCTTGACTCAATACCTTCTCACGCCAAAATCCAGCTCCCATAGTGGGAGGTTTTTTAAATTTAGAATGCATAGCAATTGGATTATGCAAATATATATTATAGTGGTTCAAAAATTTATTCATTGTATTCACACACTTGGGTTTTTGAAAGTATCTTTTCAGTAGGCTTTGGTATAATCTATAAAAGAAAAAAAAGGACAACAATAACGAAGAAAACATTTGTGATACAATAAACTAGATGTTTCATGTAATTATTTGTTAAAAAATAATTATGTGTTATATTGAAATTTAAAAAATGACATTTGTGAACACCAAAATATTATTGACACTCTTATAGTAAAGAACAAATCAGAGTTTTAGTTTGTTGAGCTAAGAATGTTAAAGTACAAATAAATAAAATACAAATATTTTAAGTTATTATTTCTACCAGTTGTTTAGATGTAGGTATAATATTCGGGGTAATATCTGTGCCCTTTGAGAGCTAGTGTAGCCCCTGTTCTGTATCTATAGCACACAGGTGAGTCTAGTTCTTCAAACAATTTTATTATTGGTCCAGTTTCATCGGTTGAATTCTTTTATATATCGCTAATTTAATAACATAATATTTATATATAAAGTAGATGATTTAAACTGACTAAAAAGGAGAAGAAGAATTCATGAGAACATTAGGTACAATGATATGGTATGCAGATGGCTCCAAAAGCACATGAAGGAACCGAATCAGGCGTTTATTGTACAATCCCAAAATATGAGCAGTCAAACTCATTGGGATGTGCGTCTTATTCTTTCAAGCCGACATACATACCATCAATGCTTGAGCATTGGAAAATCTTAAAAGAGGAAACACTGGCAAAAAAATCCTCATAAGATCTGATAGCCAAACAGCCATAAAACATTAGCATGTAAAAAAACTACATCAAAATTAGTGAATGCGTCCAGACTATCCAAAACATGGGGAAACACAACAACATGATATCTTGGGTATCAGGACAAAAGGGGATTTTAGATAATGAAAAGTCAGATACACTGGCCAGAGGGGGTTCTACAAGACCATAGGCCCTGAACCTTGGAATAACAAAAACAAACACAGAATGGATGCAAAAAATACAAAAGGAGAAGTGATAAACTCTAGTGCCGCTAGATAAAGTAAACTTATGCTAAAACAACCCTCGCCAAGACTAGCAAACTCACTGCCACAGTTACAGAGGGCTAAACTAAGAGGAGTGATAGGACTGATATCTGAGAAAACATCTACACATGAGCTTATTCAATGATGATCCTGTTTGATTGTTATGCAATGATGAGGAAGAAACAGCCATCCTTATCTTCTTCGAATGTGAAGCAACCACTCATGGAGATACGAAAAACCTTGGACCAAAGAAAACTCAGGGAAAGGAATTGTAGCAATGACAGTCAATAACCTAGTACCCCTTAAAAGAAGGATTGAATTGACAGATTGTCTAAGGAACTAAGAAAGTACAATAAGCCCAGAATGCTGCAATGCTTGGGGGACATAACCCCCCCCACTTCCTAGTCACCTTTCTTCATCATATGTTTGATGTCTCTTCTGGCTTTCATGCAGAATCTACACATACCATGTTGGATTGTACCAATTTTCTATAAATGCCCACACAGCCCACAGTAACAATCCTGTTAGAACTCTCAGTTTTATCCTGCTTCCTTTGATGCATTGTGTTCCTTTTTTTCCTTCCGACACTCGCTAGGAGCTTGGATTGATTGTGCCTAATGAGTGAATTCCCTTGTAAGGTCGTCCGCTCTTTCATTTCCCTCTACAACTGCATATCCTTGGACCCAACAGAGTGTAACTTTATTTTGCATAATTTAATTAATTTAGATTTTCAATTCAGCACATCTTTGAGTAATGATGTTTGATGGCTGCTTGGCTATCTAACAAGATATTTTTATACCTTTTGTTCAAATTGAACTGAGTTCATCTCTCAATCGCATCGATTTCAGCCTGGAAAATACTGGTGTACTTTGCCTTGTTCTCTGAGTTTTTGGTTCGTTTGAACATTCCTGTCTCCTTTACTTTGTTGCTCCATCAGTGTACTTGCAGATGGTGCTGTTCTCAACACAGAGGCTTTTCCCTTTTTAACCATCCTTTTTTGCTGTTTATTTATCTCTATAAGTAGGTTTTCTGAATGCCAAATTGTATGAGGACTGACTTCGCCATAAATATAAAAATAACCATAAATATAAAAAATGAATTTGGGGTCTAAATAAAAGATTTTCTTGTTCTAACAAGACGACCCAAAACGTACAGCCAGAATAAACAAAGAATGGCTCAATTACCTTTTACTCACCACAATCACCTGGTGTATACCCAATTGAAAATATATGGGCCATGATGGAGAGAAAAATCCAAAAAAATTTCTGCAAAAAATGAGCTTTAGGATTACGCTTAGGAAAACTCCCTGTTTTACTCATTTTTAGTTTACTGCTTGTTTGATTTATCCAGACACAGTTTCATTTATATGATGATATTGTCTGTAATAAAAGGTTTGACCAATTTATAGGAGACATATAAAATTGGGTCTAAGTTAACTTTTTTTAGTATTGTTTAATTTTGTTTAATTACACTTTTTGCTATGTTCAAACAAAAGCATTTTGTGTGTGCTTCAAAAAATTTGATAAGTACTCTTGAACTCGCAGAAGGCCTTGCTTCATATTTGGGATACATGACACTTCAAACTATCAATAAATCATGTCCATGAAGCAGCATACAAAGGTAGAACGGCTAGAGGGAAAAAACTTTTATAAGTAATAAAAACAGGATAAAAGGCACACCATTAAAATTTAATGCTCAATTATATTTTAGTGTGATATATGCTATTATTAATATATTTGGAGATGTTAATTATAGCGCAGAGTATAAATTTAATGAAAACATTCATGTAATGTTTGTTCAAGCATGGGATTGATTTTCATAGTTTATCTTTTTATAGATAAAAGTAAACATTTTAAATTTTTTGTCCTTGAATACTATTTAAATATTATTTATTTTAGATGTAGTCAACAACAGAACTGTAGTATACAGGCTAGTACATCACTTTTTGGTGAGCCTTGTGCTGGAACACTTAAGTACTTAGAAGCACATTACCAGTGCATACCACGTAAGTATTACATTAAGTCAGACCATTAGAAATGAAGTTATTAATATTTATCCTAAAATTTATGTTTTTGTCTTATTTTAGCCACGTTAACAACCACAACAATTCGACCTAGTCCACCTTGGCTTATTACTTCCCAACCCAGTGTATGGAGCACTGCAAAGGCTGTGACCCTTCGACCACCTGTGCCCACACCTCCACCACCTACATCAAATCTACCTTCTACATCGTCTACGACTAGTAGTGTGAGTACTACAAATTCCACGACGACAGAAGCGAATGTGTTGTCCGGTTCTACGACCACGTTGAGTACAACTGTTTCAACAACTTCAAAACCTTTATTTCAATCCGAATTTCAAGAGAATCCAAGCTCTACGACACTAGCCCATCCCACTACGACAACTTTTGTACCGTCTAGCCCAGTGTCTTTACATTCGACAGGTGATAAAAGAGTTTGTAAATGAAATATTGTTGTAACTGTATACGAGCATTTGTTTTTTCCCAGGTGGGACAATTGATGAATCCCAAATGTGTGTTCCTGAATTGGCAAGGGGATTGAAGTGGAATTGGACAAAAGTAGGAGATGCAGAAGTGCAGCCTTGCCCTGGAGGTGCATCTGGATTAGCAAAATGGAAATGCGTCCAGGGACCTCCACCAAGACGACTGTTTCCTACTCCAGATTTAAGCGAATGTCGTTCTGTATGGCTCACTAGCCTTGATACTAGGATAACAGAAGGAGATTCAATAATTAATATTGCTAATGATCTATCACAGGTGAATAAAAAAAAATTAACATTGACATTATCGTGAGTAATATTTACACATTATTTACCCATCAATTAGGTTACCGACAGTAAAACTTTATATGGAGGAGACATGATGACTACTACATTAATTATGAGAAGGATGGCACAAAAGATGGCCAATGACATTAGCACCTTCCCAGACCCTCGTCAGAGAGAAGCAATAGTGACAGAATTGTTGCTCGGAGTAGTTAAAACTGGGAGTAATCTTCTTGACCCGGCCCAGCTTCCGTCTTGGCGGGATTTGACATACAAAGACCAAATGAGTGTGGCGACGTCGCTCATATTTGGCATAGAAGAAAATTCTTTTTTGTTGGCTGACACAGTTATTCGAGAGAAGACAGTGAAACATAAAGAAAAAAATATTTGTATGTATTTAAAAATGGATTTATGAAATTGATTTTAGTTTGTTTATCAAAATAAAAATTTCTTCTCATTTCAGTTTTGGCTGTGAAAGTTATTGAAATTCCCAATGTTATAACTGAAAATTTTAATAGTAGTAATTTTAATGAAGGAGAAAGTGGTGGTGATGGAGGCGAAAATTGGTTACGCCTTGAAAAAAGAGCTTTATTGGATAACACAGACAGTGATTTGCTTCGTTTAGTGTATGTCGCATTCGATCGCTTAGAGGAAATATTACAACCACTACCAATGGCCAACGTATCACGAATAGTAAATAGCAAAGTGATATCGGCGTCCTTGGGTAAAGGCAGGCACATACAATTGTCTCAACCAGTAACAATTTGCTTGAAACATATTCGTACAGAAAATGTTACTAACCCTACATGTGTGTTTTGGGATTACCTGATGAGGTATTTAATTTTCATTTATTTTGTAATTAGTATTTTTTAGTTAATGATCATGGATATTTGTATTTGACTATTCTGTATAGTACAGTGTTTTCTCAGTAATCTGAACTAATTATTGCAGCGGGAATTTGGATTACAGAGGGTGTTTAAAAAATTGCACACATATGTATACAAAAAATTGAACACAACTTTATTATTGCATACAAAAAAATCTATTAGAATATAATGAAAAGTGACAATTTTTCTTTTAAAAATGTTTTTCTTTTTTTAAATTTATTTAACATTTTCTTCGTTGTTTCTTCTCCTTTTTACGATTAGTTCCTTTTTTTTTAAGCAGAAGGTTTATTATACTTAACACAAGAAAAATATAGACTGATCTAACATTTCTTTTTTAGTATTGAAGGGAGGAGGAGTATTCACTGAACAAAAGAAATTCTCAAAAATTTGATTAGTCTAAACTGGAATAGGTCTTTTATATGACTCCCTCTCACATTCTCACTTACTTTCTCTCTCTCCTCTTACTCACTCTCCCTCTTTTTCTCATTCTCTTACTCTTACACTCACTCATTCTCATTTCTTTTTCTCTCACTCTCTCTCTCTCTCTCTCTCACACACACACACTCCCTCCCACTCTCGCTCTCGCTCTTATTCACACTATCGCTCACTAACTTATTCTCCCACTTACCACTCTCTCTATTAGCTTTCTCTCCCACACACTCACTTTCTCTCCAGTCTCTCACACAGTCACTACCTTTCAATCTCACACTCACTTTCTCTCACAGTCACCCACTTTTTTCTTAATAATTCACTCCATTCCTTTCTTTATCTCTTTTTTCTTTCTTTCTCTCTTTTTTCTTTCTTTCTTTCTCTCTTTTTTTCTTTCTTTCCCTTTCTCCCCCTCCAAAAAAAGTTTCATTTGTTTCCTTTAAAATTCTCACTTTTGAATTTTTTTTTCCAGTTTGAATTTCTAGAATGTGAGTACATTTCAGGTTAGGGAGAGAGCACTCACTATATTTGGATTGATTTTCATTGTTTGGATCTTTAAATAAATTAGGCAAAACATTTTAAAGAATTTCAAATGATATGTCATATGCATACTCTTATTATTGTCTTTTCATTTAGTTTATTTGTAGTCATTTTGAATGTGAAACAGTTTATACTATTATTTACTTTATTTGCTTTGCTCTTGAACCAGGGATTACATTATAAACATTTTACAAATGATATTGCAATTTAATTATCTTTTATATGTATCAATGTATTTTTTTTTTGTATATATCAAGGCTCACGGAATATTAACAATAAACAATTGCACATTAATTTACCCTCTTTGTAAATTGCATGAGTTATATTTTCAATACAGTGTTTGTAAACATATTTTTTTGTTTATCGATTTGCATTTAATTGAAATATAAAATGTTATCTCATATAAACCATTTTGTAGAATTTATTTTTTCTTTTCTATTGTTACAGTTCGTGGTCTGAAGAAGGATGTCAGGTCCAATTTACAAATTTGACCCACACAATATGCATTTGTGACCACTTGACAAATTTTGCCATATTAATGGACATCCAAGCAACCTACTTACCACCCATGCATCAAATGGCACTTCAAATAATAACATATGTCGGGTGTATAATATCTATTATATGCCTTGTTCTATCAATTATCACTTTTCAGCTATTCAGAGGATTAAAGGTGAGTTTGTTTGAATGTATTTATTTTTAATCAATGCAAAATTATTAGAGTAAACATTTAAATAAGTGTTTCTACTTCGTTACTAGTTAATCAACTTGTTAGTAACATCAACACTGATAAATACATCAGAACTCGTTTCTATTTCCAAATACAAATTTTGCGAGTTTTATTTAACACTCGCACTGCTGTCAGTAAAAAAAAAGAATGTGGGCTGCCAAGACACATCTGTTTAAACCCAAAATTTTTTTTTATCTGAAAAACTACAATAATAAGGTGTTTTTTGTTTTGTTTTATAATATTTATTTAGTATGTACATACGTAAATAAAATTTTTCATGCATACGTCCTGACATTATGAATGTCCTGCTCGTGACACTAATTTTTCATCTCAACCTTCTTTGTGTAAAAATTAATATATATTAAAAAAACTGGTTAAGATAACTAATAAGAATAGTTACGAATCTCTTACTCAACTTATGAATTCCAGTTCTTTGGTCGCCATTAAACATTACCACATACAAATTGCTTGCATTTATCACATCTAGTAAAATGTTTATTTTCGTTTCTAAGCAAAGACTTGGTGACTTTTTTAAAACATCTTAAAAACAGAGTTAACATCCATTTTGTTCACTTTCACACAGAAACTGAATACTGAAACGTGAGACTGTGAGGTAAACAGAAAAACCAGGACACTAAACAAAGGGAAGGGATTATAGGGGCTGAGCATTTTTCCAACCTGATTGAATAAAGTAACTTATAACAGTTATACTTGTGGGAAAAAAATTGTACTAGGTCATGGACTGCGATCAGTGAGTCTAAATCGACACAGGCATCTTTCTGTCTACAAAATGAGCAATAACACATTTCTGTTCAAAATTTTCAACGAAAATTACTGTACATTTAAGAAAGGCCTAAAAGAGGAATACATTGGAGAGTAGATTAAAAAAAATTAGACAACACAACCAAAAAAAAAAAGAAAAATAACACCTGTGCGAGTGTTAATGGCATCATTTTATTATTTGGCCCCAAAGCACACATTATAATAAACATTTGGTGTTATTAAATCACCGTAATCTTCACAGTTTTATTATTCCGCAATGCTAATTACATATCACTCGATTTTTCAGTCTGATCGGACAACAATCCATAAAAATCTCTGCATTTGCTTGCTCATAGCTGAAGTCCTATTTGTAGCTGGAGTTGGTAAAACCGACCAAGCTATTTTGTGCGGCATAATAGCTGGTCTTTTACACTTCTTCTTCTTGTGTGCATTTGCATGGATGTTTCTAGAAGGTAATGTAAAATTTGTCAATACATTTTAAATGTATTCGGTTATACAGATTAATATTTTAGACAGGATTTTTAATTAAGACATTTTTTATGTTATTTATTTTAGGTTTCCAGTTGTATGTTATGTTAATAGAAGTCTTTGAGGCAGAAAAATCCCGTTTGCGTTGGTATTATTTATTTGCCTATGGGGCTCCATTAGTAGTCGTAATTGTTTCTTGCCTTATCGACCCATTCAGTTATGGAACTGATCGATATTGTTGGTTACGTGCAGACAACTTCTTTATCTTCAGTTTTGTTGGACCTGTAATTGCTGTGATACTTGTGAGTGTTTTTCATTCTGCAACTTTTATAAATATTTCTTTATATACATATAAAGAATAATTTTTGTTTGTTTTAATTTCTACAGGCTAATCTAGTCTTTTTAACCATGGCCATTTACATGATGTGCCGACATTCAAATGCATCTATTGCCATGAAGAGCAAAGAGCATTCAAGACTGGCCAGTGCCAGGTAAGATAATCAATACTAACATTAATCTTTATAATCATTCACTTTACACAATTGTCAGGTTTTAGTTCAATTTAGAGTTTCAACCGAGATTCGGTCATATAATTGGTGATGTTGAAAATTTTAACGTTTAGCTATTTAAACTAACTTGCCATATTAATTTAAGCATATTGCGATCTTTTATTGGAATAAATTTTAACTTTTCATAAATTGTAACAACTTGTATAAAATGCAGACGAGATAGGTTTATATTTTATCATGCATCCAAACCATCAGCAAACTGGCGGTTGAGTTTGAGCGTTCCCACTTGCTACATACAACAACTTGGTTTCAGACAAAGTTTGTAACCGGTAACTGGGAAAAAGTCTGAGGATTCTGCAAACGTTGTCTGAGCTTTTCTTGTTCAAATCAGAAATTTCTTACTTATAACTACAGTCCAGATTTATATGCAGTAAAATTCCTCAAATATGCCGTATAATATCCACTAAAAAACCCTCAAGTATGCAATTAATTTGCACTAAAATTATTAAAATATACAGGATGAATGTCAAGAGCCATAATCCTACTAAAAATTGAATAATTTTTCTTTTTACTAGATACATTTTTTCGGTCTAGTACATACACATTCAATTTGAAATAAAACAAAAATTTCAGACCTATAAAAAATAATATCAGAAGGAGGACTGACCCTGAGGGGTCTTGTGTTTCAAATAAGGTCCCTATTAACTTCCACCAAACTTCTTCAGGAAAATTAATCTTTCAGGAAAGGCAATAAACAAATTAACCTAAAAATTACTGTCCTTAGCAGTGTGGGGACTGAGGCTATGTTCAAATAAATTTGAAATCAGTTATTAAAAAATTAATTATGTAAATTTGTAGACATCTTTAAGACATTTTGCGTTGATGATGACCATAAAATAGGTTTTGGATTTGAGCAGGATTACTCTTTTGTCAACTGCAACACATGGCCCTTCTAAGTCATTTCTCCATTACTCGCTTTAAAGGATCTAAAATGCCCTATAAATATCCAGAGTCTGAATTTCGGGAGACATCAAATAATCTTTCTGGGTTCCAATTAAGAAAGCGGGATACATGGTTGTTCGGCCTCCTTTATTTAAGGTCAAACCATACAGTACTATTTGACTTCAAATTCCAACGTATTTTCTGAAAAAAGATTTCCAAACAAGCATTCCAATGGAGTTAAGAATCCGTTACGGATCCAATTACGGATAGTTGACTAGTTTGTAATTGTGTGTTGAAACAAACGTAAAAATACATTTCGGCCAAACTTACAGTTTAGTACATTGTACGCCCTATTTTATTTTCCAACTTAATAAACCATATAAAAATAAACTGGCAAAGTAACTTTTTTTAAATTTTTATTTAACCCACATTTTATTTATTTATTGTATTGTATTTTCTAAGGGCTTGGCTAAGAGGAGCCATAATTCTCGTCTTCCTACTGGGGCTTACATGGTTGTTTGGCCTCCTTTATTTAAATGAAGAATCAGTGGTCATGGCCTATGTTTTTACTTGTTTAAATAGTACACAAGGCCTGTTCATATTTGTATTCCACTGCATCCAAAATGATAAGGTATGTATTTCATCTGCACCTTTTAAATTTAATGTAGTTATGGTTTTTAATGGCATTAATATAACATCACAGAGTAGCTGATTGTTTTTGCGTTTTTATTTTATTTATTTGTTTAATTTTTTTATTTTTTTTATATGCATTTCAATCTGTTACTGATATTTTTCACATTAGAACTACATTAATTTCTTCAACATTTTCGGGGCTGATTTTCAGCTCAGCTGCTATGTGACCACCAGGCTGATTNGTTTGGTGTTTTATGTGTTGGGTTCCAATGGGGCAAAAAAAAATTTTTTTTCTTTGATGACCTAATACTATCAATTTTGGTTGTTTTTATTTAATTTATTTGTTTAATTTTTTTTATATGCATTTCAATCTGTTACTGATATTTTTCACATTAGAACTAAATTAATTTCTTCAACATTTTCGGGGCTGATTTTCAGCTCAGCTGCTATGTGACCACCAGGCTGATTTATTTTGTATTATGCACTAACTCCAATTAAAGTAGTTGTATTTAATTGAAAATTTATTTGTCCCCTTCATTTTGTATTTTAAAACATAACCAAAAACAAAATAAATCTTAATATATTCTCAACATGACATACAACCGTGTTTTCATCTACACACACTTTGAGCCCTGAAGATGATCTCAATAAAGATCGAAACGTTGGCACAATAAAGAAAATGTTTTTCTAAACCTACATTACACAAGACCCCATCTCACGATCTCCAAATAATCATTAATTATCGATCATTAAATACTACACACTTTTTTATTACATTTTTAGCATCGTGGGCATTATCGAGATGATTAAGTTTGGAGGTTGGGATAAACTTAGCTCTGCTGTCAATTAAGTTATATTAAATTATTAATAGTCGTAATTATTATATTTTTTAAATGGTTCATAATATAATCATGCCAGTACGATTTGATCATTATTGTATAAAATTGATCAAAATTGGTGAAAATGTCTCCTTCAACCTAATCATTCAGATAAGTTGTGTATATTCATGAAATTTTGACAAGTTAAAATGGAAATAACTTTTTGATTCAAATCAGCTGGAACCACCAACTACATATTCATTAGATCTTAATATAAAAAAACTCAAATTATTTGAACAAGAAATGTTGTTTTGTAAGATCTAGTAGGACAGGTTGTGACAGACAAAAACATAGTTGATTAAATTGACATGTATATAAGTGCCATAGGTCAGCTATCCATTTAGTAAAATAAGTATAAAATTTGAAATGAATTTTCTTTCCGCCTGACAATTTTTCTTCGTGCTAATACAGTTTTCTTTTGTTAGGTTCAGAAGGAGTACAGAAAATTCTTTAGAAGACATGTTTGGCTTTCTAAGTGCTTAGGGTGCCAAGAAAGCGGAGGAGGTGTTAGTGGCAGCGGTGGGGAGAGCAAAGAACGGCGAACAAGCCTCTATACAGGATCTCACGGAAATGCTCAGAGTACTGAAAGTACATCAGCGTCTTCAACTGCAGCAGTGACAGGTCCTGCACCTCCACATGGAACCAGCGTGGGTAGTTCCGTACATAGATTGCCCATTGCCCCCATGCCCAGCCCCACACACCAAGGTATTAAATATCATCTCTCAATATCCCCCAAACTAACATGTGGGGCTGGGCATATATGATCATGTTTGATACATTACTTCTTATTTAGAGCTTAAATCTTAAAACCACTAACAAGTATTTTGTTCTCTCAGAATCTCATTTTTCAATGGCTTTTATCGAAATTTGTGTCACACATAGTCACAAAATAGCAAAACTTGTGGAATGGAGTAGCGTCTTTTTTTGAGCTTTGCACACAGAACAAATTTGCAATTTACAGAAATTATTGCAATCCTTTATATTTTATATATTAGGATATTTTAATATTTAGAATTTTTTCCTTATTATTATCTCCTTTTTCTATATGACTGTGAGGGAAAGTGGTATGGTGTGATTACAGCATTGTGGGCCGATGAGTGGTTGGCCAAGAGGTGTAACAAAGGAAAATGAAGTCGAAGTGTCCATTGCCACTTTACCTTATGTTACTAGACCTACTTCCCGACCCACAGGATTCCTACCTCTTAACATTCCAAAATCTGCTACTACATGGGGTCCACTGCATAAGCCTTTCATTTGGAAGGTGAGCACATTGCTTCTTAACTACTCACATGCATGTATTTTACACAGTACTTCGATTTTATACTAGTACTCTAAAACTGTTTATTTTTTCAATATTTTTTGCCATACTTTTGTGATGATTCTTTTAATCATAATATGAACAAATTTACCTTGCATTGCTTCAACACTTCCAAACAATATAACTTCTACCATTTTTATACTAACCTTCTTCCTAAAAAAAGTTTAAACAAATCATTAATTTCTTATTTATTGCATTTTTATTTATCTAATTTGTTAATAACTAAAATTTTTGATTTCCTTCCTATCCTTTGTTTCATATTACTGCTTTTAGTGTTTAGATTCAATTTGTTTCAAGGATATTTGAACCCCTTGTCAAGTTGAATGGTATTCTTTCCTCCTAGAATTTCGTCGCTTTTAAAATATAAAAAAATATTGTTAAATCGTCTGAAAGCATATGCAATTGTAGTTTTTAGTGAATTTAACATTGAAACACATCAGTGGACAAAGGGCATCAAATAATAATAAAAAAGTTTCATTGCTTGTGGATCATAAACACTGCTTTGCTTTAAATGTGCTTTCCTTTATTAATGCTATTTGTATTTATTTTAATTCCCACATTGAAAAAGCTATTAAAATTATTTACTATGAGGGTGTATCAAATATAAACAGAACTCATTGTTAAAAAAATTCTAACTTTATTTAATTAAGCTTACAAAATATATAATTGTTTCACATATTCTCCTGCCCTAGAAATCATTTTTCCCATCGGATTGGGAGTTTTCTTTTATTGCATCTTCATAAAAATTCTTCGGACATTCTCATAGTCTTTGGAGCACAAAAGCTTCCATTGCTTCATCGTCAAAATTCTAGGCTTCAAGTGCTTCTTTGAAGGATCCAAAAAGATGAAAGTCACAAGTGGACATATCTGGACTAGAGGGTGGATGTTCTAACATTTTCCATCCTGTTGCAATCCAATTTCTGCTTTGTGGCATTAGCCACATAAGGCCTGGTGTCACACAGAATAATGACACTTCTGGCCAATTAATTGTTTCTTTTTCCTTTTCCTTCGAAATGACAATTTCATTCAATAATTCATAATAATACTACACATTAATTATGTGTCAATCATGGAGTAAGTCAACATGAAAAGCTGCCTCAGTGTTGGCCTCGGTCACACTCGCCCTTAGGCAGCGATTGTGGCTCTCGTTCTATATTTTCACGCCCTCCAGAAAAGTGTTTGTGCCAAGCAAAGATATAGGTTATTGGCAGGGTGTTGTCCCCATACTGTGCCTTTAAACATCTCAAAATTTTGGTTAGATTCACCCTCCCCCCTGGCATAAACTTTTAATAATCTGTTGCTCCAACAGAGGCTTTTTTCTCACTCATGGTTTCTGTTTATACTAAAGAGACTTAGGAGAGTTGTGGTCAAAAATCACTCGGTATTTGATACACCCTCGTAATATAACAAACAAAAAAAAGGATTTGAAAATAAAATATTTTCATGTTTCTAAAACTTGAAATAGTGTGCCAAGTTAATCAACGATTCATTCCCAAGAAATTGATTAAATTGTCTGTCTTGATACTTGACTGCAATGAGACTGTTCTGTTTAGACTAAAGTTTATATTTTAACAAATAAATATTTTAATTAAAAGGAAGTATAGTCATGGACACAAGAAAAAAAAAAAGGACACTTGTATTGATTTGATTATTTTCTGTAATAACTAGGTATAAAGATTAATAGTCAACATAGTACAATAGTATATACTAGGCCACAACGGTTTAGGCGTTCACACGGCGCTCATCATTGTAAGGTAAAGGTCCCAGGTTCGAGCTCGACATACTTACAAATGGGCTTTTTTTTCCAAAAACACCCGCACCCCCCCAAGGGTTGATATAACCTTTGCTGTTGCGAACCCTCGCAAAAAAAATAAAAGTATATACATTATATAGAGTTTGAAATAAACAACAAAATAGAAGCGTCCGTTGTTTTTTATTTTATTTTTATTTATTTATTTATTTTTTGAGCGATAGTTCTTAATAATTTTAAACAACGTCTTAATAATTTTAAACAACGTACTCTCCCTTTTCAGTGTTACCATCCAGCTTTTATTGTAGATACAAATAATTTAATACAAATAAAAAACAAACATTGGTATAATTGTAGCTTTCAAATTTTTACTTCAAATTAGTCATTCATGAAATGCAGGTACGTTTGTCAGAGATTCAGACGATTTACAAATTTCATTCAAGAATTTGAATATGGTCTGCTGTATGATGAGCAATTTATGCTTTATAAGTGCCTCCTAAAAGACACCTAAGTCAATAAAAAAAAACTTCATACTTTGTCAGTAAATTATGTCCCTTAAATTAGTAAATTAATATAGTTTAACTTTAAAAATCAACAGTCAATTATTTTTCTTTCTTCCTTTTGTTTCCATTTTAATTTTGATCTGGAGGGTGAGAGGAAAATTCTATTTTTAAATGAAGGACTAAATTTTGAAAGGTTCCATGCCATTTTTTTGGGAACGGTTAGGGTTTTTTTTTGTTTTTTTTTTAATTGGGCCTTTATTGTGCAAAAATGGTAACAAATTGATTACTCAAAGTATTGTCCATTTCTAGCAGCACATGAATCCCGCACTGGTCTTTTGAATGAAAGAAAATTAATCTTTTTTTTCCATTCCTTGTAAGAATGAATATGCTGCTCAGACAGGCCATGAGTCATTGGCTGAAACAAGTGATAGTCTGAAGGATGGCTAGACAATACGGTGGGTGGGGTAGGATGTTCCATTTCAGTGTTAAAAAGTAGTTATTGACTGGCACTGCAACATGTCGTCAGGCATTGTCGTACCTATTCTCATATTCCGGCCATTTCTCCTTCAGTGTTAGGCTCAAACACATCAATCGTAAGTTGATATGTAGGAAATAAATGGTCTTTTCAACAATAGGCATTTATTACATCAAACGCATTTTGGTCCAATATAGACCATCTTCAATGACTTTTTTTTATATAAAGTGGTTTGACAGTTTTCTACATTCTTGTAAGTTCAGAAGTGGATGTCTGGACGACAATGGACTTGATGAGTAGTTGGCTATTTGGTATTTATATAATCATGGGATTGCTACTGACTATTCCATTCTTGACAGAAAACGCGCCAAGTCCACAGTCGTTTACATATCCACTTCTGGACTTATAAGAATGTAAACAACTGTCAAACCACTTCACAGTAAACAAAGTCTCTGAAGATGGTTTGTATTAGACCAAGACATTTATTTCCTACTCATCATCCTATTATGGAGTTCCACAAAATCAGGATGGACACCAACAAAACATCACTTGTAGCAATACCATGATTATATATTTATATTTTAGTTTGTTAATTGATTATGGATACCAGGAACTGGAGGAGTTCCCCCTGAGCACTGCAGCTTTACAGCTTATTGTACTCCATCCAGGTTCCATTTTAGGAGTTCCTGACAACACGTGTGTAAATTGAGCACTCGGTGTTCTTCTGTCAAAGGAATCATTTTGGAATCGTCTGAGACCTGATTCCCCTCGACCTTCCATTGTTGCGTGATGTGCCAACTTAAATTATACCACTTCTCCCCTTATGCATCAGAAAAATCCAGAGGCGGCTGTGGATATCGAACCTGCTACTGGTGGGATCTTGACCACTCGACTACTGCAGTCCCGATCACTGTGATGGTTTAATTCAGTTTTAGCAGCTCATAATATACTTCATCTAACAGAACTAATTACACATGATGTGTGAATATTTGTCTTCATCATGGGCTTAATCCACGATTTCTTCTGTTTTGGCCACTTTGGAGCAGCTGTTGTTTTCGCAAGTGAAAAATCTTTTCATGCCTCTTGGCTTTGATTTGTATGGCACCCGATCTCTTTGTTTTTCCGGTGGCTTTAAAGTATAATAAAATTGCTTGTTTTGAGTCAGTTACAAAAATTCTGCAAGTTCTTCTTGCATTTGATATGAATCATCATATAATAATGCCTCAAATTCCTCATCTTCAGTTTCTGGCTTTCCTCCATGTCAAAATCACTACTTTTGTACTGTCTAATTTGAAATCAATGAAGCATGGTCCCCACCTTCAGCTGATTTATGGAGCATATTTGGAGTCCAAAAATGTATGTTGTTTACACTTGACAAAATGAGACATACTGAAAACTAAAGCCTAATGATGTCATTTTGTCATGAAGAAGGTTAAGTTGTGGTCCAATGCAATTTAATATCGCCCTTTCTAGTATTTAAATTTTTTTGAAAGTTGTACCCCCAATATTTGCACTCATACAGTTTTTTATTTGGTTGCAACAGAATAGTAACGTATGATAATGTTTGTATTCTCTTTTTTTTTTTACAGAACATTTCTTTTAAGTCCTTTAGTCGAGATTCTGGTCATGGCGGTTCTGAACAAGAAGATTCTCCCAAGGCTCATACAACTGTTTTGACTAGTAATTCACTGTTACGCCACAAAGAAAGGCCAAGTTACATGACTGCTGCTTACTCTCATTCTCATCTTCAACCACAGTTGCAGCATGTACAGGCAGCAACAATGCAGCATCGTAACAAACGACCGAATGGTACCTCACGCGCTACAAGCCCTTGGAACCACACTTACACTGAAATACGAGAGAGGGAGCAGAGAGTCCATGATGATGACCCAGTGTATGAGGAGATAGAAAGGGAGCGTGCTGAAATTCAAGTGAGCGATATGAGCGATGAAGATGGCCGAAGACAGAGCGATATGAGTCGACAATCTTCAAGAAGCTACGGGGATCATCGGCCGTTGATTCCCTATAGCCCAGCTGCCGACAGAAATTTTCACACTGCGTTCGACGCCGCTTTTAAACAGCGTCTAAAGGAGCAAGCTCAAAACAGAGCGAATGCACAACAAGGTACTGTAGCAGTGTTAGACGGTGAAACAGTGGTGTGTCACTTGCAACCGGAATATACAACAAGGACTATGTTACAGCAACATCAACCTTATAGCGAATGTTAATGTAAAAACTTTTAGAAAAAAAATCAATCCGCCTTAACTTAAAATTATTATAAAGCTCATGTTGGAATCTCATTTCACTGTGTTTATATTGTAAATATATTTCAGCTTTGTAAAATAATAAATGACACCTGTCATGTGAAGACTTATCCAGTGTAAAAAAAAAATTTCTGTGACTTTTTATATAATTCTATTTGCTAAGAATAAATATGAAATGTAAATTAATAAATAATGCTCCTGTGATGATGCAATCATAGCTGTTAAATATAAAGCATCACTACCTTAAGACTGTTGTATAATAAAATTATCCAAGAAGAATATTAATTTGCACATTTATTGTAAAAATTAATTTAAATTATTCCAAAGAAAAACACATAAACGTCAACTAGAGTTTTATAGTTTATTTTACATGTTTATGTGTTTTAATTTAATCCTTGTTTTAAAATCCTTGACTGAAAATAAACTGAAATGATTTCTTTTATTCTAAATTAATATATTTTACACCTTCAGAGAGTTGCAATTCGGTACAATATAAATTTTTCATTTTATTTAAATGAATTTATCAAATGATTTTTAGAATAGTCATGCCATCCCCTGATAAAAGGCACAAATTTTGACCGTGTTGTACAATTTTTGTGGACACACTCATGGAACATGTTCTCTTTTTGGCTCATTTTTTATTTCAAAACTGGCCACTATGTTACTTAAATATGAACTATGTTGTACATAGGCTTCTTTTTTTGTGTGTTTTTTACCAAATCTATTTCCAGGTGTATTGCAAACAAATCTTTTTTTTTTTTTTTTTTGCTTTTTAAGCAAAATAAAACTAACATAATAAGTTTAAGTGAGCTTTCAGTCATTAAAATTTAGCACGATGTTTCCTTAAAATGGAATACATGATGATGTTGGGATGTTTATTTAGATGTAATTTATTTACTGTTGTGAAACAATACATATTTTCCCTTTTAACACTGTTTTAAAAACAAATAATAATCCTGCCCAAATTTTTATATGTCCAAATTTAATACTTATTTTGTACCAGACAGAGAGACTAAATTCCATATAGTGGGATATGTTTCGGGACATGGTGCAGTTACAGAAGAAATAAAATCTAGGAAAGAAAAAATATTTTAGAAAGCTTAGTAAGTAGTGTAATTCCTCTCATATTGGAGGGCTAAACATCCAATTACCCATTGTGTCGTGGATGAGGGGTCAAACCGCTTTAGAATACATATTCATGCCATTATCTATTAAAAGCCATGGGCCATGCCAGGATTCAAACCCTGGACTGCTAGCGTGGAGTAAACAAGTCGTACCTCTCGGCCACTGCAGTACCTCATGTGCTTGATCACATAGATAATTTGTTTTTAGAGATATAATTCAATTGATATTGCAACTATTCAAAGCTGTTTAGAAATTGATAAATATAAGTTTGTAGTTTTTAAATTACTCAACTCGAAATTTATAGCTGTTAGACAAACTCTTGTTCCCTTGTCAATACTGATTAATATTACCTCAATAAGTCATTAAAGTACTATCGCAGAAACTAAACTTTACATAGGACATAGTAGAACTAGAATAATAGTAGTGGGGGGTACCCACAGACTCGAGAGGCATATGTACAAATAAGGAGCAGCAGAAAAGCCTGTGCAGGTATTGCCAGGAAGCAAGAAACAAATCTTTGGGATCTGATAAAAAGCCTAAAGTTGAACAAAGTGCTCTAAACAGTAATGGAAGTTGCACAATAGACAAATATTGGTCGCAGAAGGTAGTAAAATGGTCCTTTTGACCTAATTCTTAACTTAGTGGTTTGAAAAAAGCCGGTTAGGCAAAGGATTTGAAAGATACACATCTTTCTTTTCCCCGGATCACTGAAGACTTAGTCATCCTTTCTTCCACTGCAACCTAAAATATCTGTTGTAGAATCGAACCTTCTGTATTTTCATATCCAAGAAAGCACAACCTTTGAGGTTACTTAAGCACTTTTCAGGGTTTCTCTTTGCTAACTTCCCTTAGTGTCAGGGTCGCCTTAAAGAAGAGGCTGTACTTTTTTCCAGGCTATCATATTGAACATGTTCCAATGTCTGCTTTTTGCACAACTCTCAAGGCATATGTAGAAAAAACCCGAGTACTACTCCTGGGGAGCAAAAACCAAAGCAGGAAGAGGGACCTTTAATAAATCTTTGGGGTCTGATAAGCCTAAATCTAAATCTAACAACCAATATTGGTTGCGCAAGGTTGTAAAGAGGACTTTTAAAGTTAAACCTTCAAGTTGAGCTGAGAAAAATGGGTTTGCAAGTAGACTTTCAGCATTTGGTTCAGATCAACGGTGTGGTGAAGTCATACAGACAACATACTACTAAGCCTAATGCAAAAGGGAGGGGGGACATTATGCACTTTGAAAGTATAAATAGAAAGAAAATTAAACCAAATCTAAAGAGATACCATTACATAATTCTAGAGAGAAGTAACATAAATGAAATGGCTGCCAGCTTACAAAGTGAGAGCAAAGTTTAAATTTGTCAGACTCTTCCAAGTTGTCTAGAAACGCATCTTAAGAATAAAGGTTTAGTTTCAACAAGGGGTAGATACAAAGATTGACCATAGTACAGGGAGGTGTCGTAAAGAGGGCAAAATACACCCTAGCCCCTCGACTCAACTATTTTTCAAGATCAGCTCCATCCACTTTGGTGCAGTTGTTGATAAAGGTACATGAATTTACTTACACAGTCAGGCTACTATAAAGGCTATACAGGGTGTCCTTTTCAGATGGACAGACTGAATTTCTTTTCAGCTTTCGTGATTTGGTTTTTTTTTTTTTCAATTGAAAAACCAACTTATACCTATTTACTATTTTTTAGTCTAATTTAATCTTTACCCCCCCCTTTTTAATATTTGTTATCAGAATACTTCAGAGTTAGTACAACTTTGAAATGTTAAATTGGAGCATATATGTTTTTTTACCCCTGTTTTAAAGGATTTTTAACATTGAAAACAATGGCATAATCAGATTTTAAATTGGTTAAAGAACAGCAAAGTTATAGCACAGAATGTGAAAAGAAATATCTTAATTTATTTTTTATTATTGTTATTTTTACTGTTTTAAGAATTATAAAACCTTTCCTCTATTGTGACCTAAATGTATCTATTGTGGAATCCATATAAATTATAGCCATACCTTGGAAAGCGCCCTTTTCCTATAATATTAATCACTTTCCTTGGTGCCTCTTTGCACACCTCTTTTGGTGTGACAATTGCCTCACCGAAGTGGCTCAAGCCTTACAATAGCCAGGCTAATGCTTCACTTCACAAAGGATATGTTCTGGTGTCTCTGGTTCCTTCTGACAGAGTTGACATGTTTCTGTCTCTGCTTTGCCTGATATATTCTTTGTCTTTCATTGGCCGAGATTTGCTTACTGTACATGCCTTTAGATGGTAGTTAAAGTTACTAGTATAGAAAGCTATAATTTTGCTCAAATTCTGCATGCAGGAGAGTTCCTTTGCCTTCCTTTTTGGGTGATTTATAAATCTCTCAATACCTACAATTCAATACCACAATATCAACTTTGGCCAGTGCTTGAGTTTTTCTTCCTCGATTTTTCCCGTTCCAACTTAAGCACACATCCTGATGCATCCAGTATTGGTTCAGGTCCCATGGGTGAGAGGGTTGCCCCTTTTTTGGGTGGTTTTTTATCCTGTTCATTTCCTTCTATACGTTCATGTCTGGGAACCCACTTTTAATGTAATCTTGTTTTGTTTTCCCAGGGTCATTAGGCAATTTAGGCATTCCCAGACAAGTTGGAGTTTTACTGCCTTTATTGTTGGGCTTTTCTAGGGTATAGTAAGGCCATTTTATCCCTACACCTACTCCCTGTTCCATCTTCAATCCATCTGTGTACCATATTAGGGCCCCTTCTTTAAACTTGGGGCCACCTTTCTTCCAAATGTCTCTATTGTCTATGCCCACTTGGAATGGTCTGTCAAAGTTGAGCTTTCCCCACATTTTGTCAGACATCGTTGTAGCCACCTCATTTATTTTAATTCTTTTTAGAATTTTGTGGCGGCTGCTCCTTAGAACTGGCTTTATTTCCTTGTATCTCAGGGGTCTGTTGTCACTCGAAATCACCTTTTGTACATTAATAAATATGTATGGGTGGACGGTAAAGGGCTGTTTTCATTGCTGTAGTGGGGCAGGTATGCGCCCGTTATATTAAGACACACTACAAGTCTTTGTATACTCTTTAGTTTGGTCTGTGTCTCCTTGTTCCGTATTTTTGACCACCATGCTAGAGCTCCATGTGTGACCAAGGGTCTAACTGTTGTTGTGTATAACGAGTACAACATCCTTTATTCCCCAGTTTGTATGGCATAATCTCTGGATAATGCTTATAAAGCGGGCTTTATAGCAGAAGGCTGCCTATGTGTTTTCCCCATTTGAGTCTTTGGTCAAAGGTTATACCAAGGTACTTCGTTTCTTTGGAGAAAGTTAAGGCTTCATCCTTTACAGTGATGGCTTTTATAAATAGTTTCCTTCTTTTTGTAAAAGGTATGAGATGTTTTCTTAGAGTTTATAATTAAACCTTTTTCTCACACCATCTTCCTACAATATTTAGGACATTTAGTATATGGTTTGACATAGTTTTCTCAAATTTCCATTTTATGACCATGATTGTTTATGATTATTACCAGGTCATCTGCATAACCTATGGTATGATTTGCTGCTAGTCAGTTTTATGAATTTTTTTGGGATAATGTTAATGGGTCACACATTTTTTAGATATCTAAAATGTTTCAAACATTAAGAAGAACAAACACATTGATATTTGAAACTTGTACAGTACCTTTTTTTAAAAAAATGCAACAGTTTATTCAGTAAAAACATGCTAGCAGACCCAATGAAATCATACCAAGAAATTTGTAAGTATTTTCCATAATGTGGTTCTTAATTTTTTCTTTGCATTGTCAGTGTTTATTTTGATATCGTTTACACAACTGGTTTTATTGGATTTAGACAACATGAAAAGCATTAGAGCAAAATTCCAACTTTTCTTCACCTCCATAAACTTTAAATATTCTTCAATAAGTTTTTATCAGTCAGTCAAATTGAGCCGAAGGGTGTGTTTCCCATCAAAATCGGGTTTATATATTATACTTTCATTGAAAGTGGCGGAATTGCTTGTCATGCAGTGGAGTTGTACTTCCTAGCAATTTCCCAATCGCCCCCGGGTGAACTACAAATCGCTTATTCGCACACAATATGATGAAAAGTGAATCTGTAGGGGGCCCATCAAAAAACTGGCTGTGTCATTTTGATAACTAAATATTTTATCGTATGTTCTCAAAAATCCACACTCCCCTCTTCAAAACAATGGAGGGTTTTTCAAAGAACAAGATTAGAGATGCCCTCAGAACATACAGTTTTAAATCACATCGCTCTCATCTTGTCAAAGGGCTTTGGGACAGTGATTTTGATAGATGGGATTAACCTTCCTTTCAGAGATGTTGATTTGAGATACAGAAGAAAATATTCTCCCATACATACTGTGGACTGATGAATCCAAGTTCACCACAGATCGTATTCTCAATTGGTTGAATTAGAAAGTGGCCACAGGAAAACCAAAATTAATCATCACCTAAGTTGTTCACATTCTGTGCTCTTGTTGTAATTGTTATGGTGAACGATTACCAAAATAGAACTAATAAGAACTCTGCTTAGAAGTAAATTATTACAGAGTAACAATAACGGGAAAGGATTGTAATAATTAAGTAAACAAGTTCTCTTGTGTACACAACAGCAACATCAAATCAAGGTATTAAGGTGGATTTTCTCCTTCTTGTCAAATTTTTCCACTAATTTTGTATTTTTCTTCAAAACGGGATTTGTATTATATTTAAAAATAATTTTTTTAAATTATCAACATGAATAAAGAAAAAGAAAAGCATTTGCCACCTTTCGAGCATGATTATCTTATTCAAACCCTATTTTTTCACAGTTGATCATTCTATCCTAGTTAAAAGCACGTGGTTTTCAAGCTTATTACACAAAGTTTTTATTACTTGAATAGCCCATATTTGGCAATTGCTCAGGTTTAAATCATTTCAGCTAAACACAAAATGAAATGGTTAAAGGTATCATTTTAAAAACTTATTACTATCAAATGTGAAATTTATCCCGCTTTCTAATGGCGCTATCAGATTTGCTATACCTTAAAGAGCAAAAAAGTTATGATGGTTTTAACCTAACAGTTTTTTGGAGAGAAGAAATTAATTATAAATATCTCCGAAACTATTGAGAATTTTTAAAAAATGTATAGAATATTTTTTTGTTGCAAATAAGATGAAGAATCATCTTGAATTTCTCGCATAGTTTATGAATCACCATAAGTATGCACATTCATTTGAATAGGCAAGTTAAATACATTTACATATAAAAGCACTTTTGTTTTTTTAAGGTATTTTTTAAAGTTTATGGATGTGACAACAAAACCTGGAAGGCCTGTTTGTAGTCATAACTAATTAAATAAATCAAGTAGATATGAAATTAACAAATTTTTATTATAACTTAATGAAAACTCATAAGGTGGGGTTGAGATGGGAAGTTGATGTCCGAGTGGATCGAGGTCACGATAGCTCAGGTGGTAGAGCAGCGGCGTATCAAGCCGAAGGTCGTGGGTTCGAATCCCTCTCGTGCCATTAGCTTTTTTTCATCTCGACTAAAAACCTTAATTAATTTTAATGATTTAATTGGTCAAGCGGACCACGAAATTAGTGAATTTTATTATAACTTTAGCATTAATTTTGAAGAGCTACATAAATTGATAGGAGAAATAGAAAATTTATAAAATAAGATTTTATTAAACTTTGAGCAAATAACATAAGAACAATTTATAACACAATGGACGAATCAAACAGCTCGGTGATTCACAGGAATGTTAAATTAGACCAAATATGTGCTATTAAAAAAAATTATTTCTCGTTTATTAAATTTTTTTACATAATGTAAGCTCACCCAATTTAAATTTCAATTTATATATTTAATTCATAAGCACAGAATGATGAAAAATTTTCAGTTTCAATAAATTAAACGACACAATTCAGAATAAGAAAACAATTACAGTAGCCAATCTGTTTAACAGACCGTAAAAAATAAATGACTAACGACATATCAAATTTTTAAAAATTTCATTTAATGTAAGCCTAAAACATAATTTATTCCCTGAATGAATCCCAATATCACTGGTTGCCAGGCGACTAACAGTCTGAGCCAGTCCAATAAAGATCCATACAAAACATGCGGCTTTTCCCATCTGTCCTTTATTAAAGAAATATAATACAAATAATTCAAATTATGTAAATAAACATTTTTTACAACAAGAGTACTCATTTACTGCCTTACTGGTTGATGCTACAGCCATAGTCTGCCTTGCAATAGCCTGGAAAAGGCTATTGCACTTAGGAAAGCCATACCTGAGCAATGAAGACAATGAAGACAAAATACCAGGTAAAGCAGACTGGGAGAGAGGGATCCTAGTTAATGCCGACCGTATTTGGCATACAGATGGCACCAAAACTGAGTATGGGTCAGGAGCTGGTACTAAACCAAGGACTAGAATTCATGTAAGCCTTGGCCTTTCAAGCGGAGACTGTGGCTATTGAACACTGTGCTAAGGAGATTAAAAGGCTAGTTATTGATGAAGAATAGTCATCTACTCAGACAGCACTGAGGGCAATTACCACAGCAGTTGTAAAGTCCAGATTCGTTTGGGATTCCATTATTGCCTTGTCCCCTTGTCTGGGTACCAGGGCACACAGGGCAGAGGGGCAATGCTCAGGAGGAAAATTTGATAAGATCACCTATTGGCCTTGAACCCTTTTGTGGCATAACAAATTGCCAAAAACGTGTATTCATCAGACAATGGATTAAAAATGAATACTCTGTTCAATGGAAATGTAACCCTGGACAGTGCAGACTTCAGAGGCATATGTATAGACTCGGAGTGGTGGAAACAAGCCTATACAGATATTGCCAGAAGAAGAGACAACGAAACATGCCCTATGTTGGTGCGAAGGCTGTAGGCTGATTCCTACTCCTGGGAGAGGAAAAGCCTGGGCCTGAATGAAAAAGGTGTGGAATCTGGCAAAAACCCAGGAGATTTAGGTAATAGAGACCAATATGGTCGTGGTGTGCAGATCAGCTCCTACTGTAATCTTTAACTTAGCTGCATCCTCTGAACATGGCATAACCAAATAACTCCCTTTTTTATATGGTCTGTTATATCCGGCTTGCTACAGCTTTCTCAGCTTTAATTTTTACGAATTCTCCAATATGACCAAATATGTTTCTAAGGACCTTTGCTTCACATATGCCTAGATTTCACTTCCCTTTGTTAATATCAGTTCTCCCTTCCATACATAATGACAGATCTAATGTTTTATAGATGACTTGCTGCCTAGTTATTAGTTATAGATATAGTTGTTTAACCAATTCAGGGCAGTCAGTGCTCTTCATTCCCCAAGTGAAGAACTGAGAGCATGATCTCTCGTTTTACTCTCTTCACTTGTGGTGATATTCTCAGTACCTCACTGGGGGAAGCACGAGAGCATCTCGCTCCCTGTTCCCTGAAAGAGTTAAATTTCCAAACATGATTATTTTAGAGTCGAGAGACACCTATTGCCTGCTGCTATTTGTTCTTTAATCTCGAAATTTGTGTTTATCGCCATGCACTCAGGTACCCAAAACTTTTGTATTATCCAAAGATATGCTCCTTTATCTACACTTACTCTTTCTAACTTCCTTGAATCCTTGCTGTTTTCATTTACTTATTTTATTCAAACTGATACAATAACTGCACGTTGTTATGACATCACTGTCCGCATACACCATATGCCAAGTCAACCTATTATAGATTGCATCACCAGGGTTTGTCTGGATTGCTCTTATTGCCTATTCAAGAGTCAAATTAAATAGAATGGGTGCCAATGTGTCCCGCAGTTTAACCTGTGACTTGAAACTCCAGACAAAACGTTACCTTACCTGCAACCTTGTTTCATTCCACGTCTAGCTTTAACTTATTGTATATTTACAGTAAACTTATTTATAATACACTAGGATCGTTATACACAACTGTTATTGTTTACAGAATGAAAGGATACGGGTTGCAGAACATCTTTTTTAAATCCACCTTCTCTTTGCAATATGGGCATATCTGCTTCTTGCCAACAATGCACCATCCTCTTATGCAAAATTCATGAAATCTAAACATCAATATGTTAAGGATATTTACATTATATGTAAAAAAACGATAATTTTAAAAGCATAATTAATTACAATCCTTCACACTGGACCTTCAGTGGGGCATAAAGCCTGCTAGGGAGGAATTACTTTTTTGGGGGAGGGGGGTTTCTAGAGGCTACTGTTCGCTTGGGGAAGAGTTTTAGAGGCAATCGAAAAAGCTGTCTTTGTCTGTTATTGGGAGTGCCCGCTTTATAGAAGATTTTAATGTGAAGAAACTAATAGAAAGACGCCCGGAATCAGAACTTGTCCGTTCAAGGGAAGTGTCTGGTTTTTAGAGGTGTCCGTGAAGAGAAGTTTCACTGTATTTGGAATGCCCAAATGGCCCAAAATCAATAAAGTGAGAACAGGTGGACCAAGGTGATCAGAGATGGCCAAACTACAGATTCAATTACTGTTATGCTGAAATCAACAATGAATAAATCAACACCAAAGGATACACATGTTCACAAGATAATAAATAAGTATTTTCAAGAAGGCCTTCTTCATCTTGAGACACCAATACACTATTTCCACATACTGCACATACGTTTTGGTCGAGAGATCTGGTTGGCATTCCCTCTTTAGAATAATACTGAAAAATGTTACATCATTAAATAAAATTACAACGATTGATATAAAAGTTAGTACTCCGATGTGAGAAGCCATCTTGTCGCTCGATATTTCTGCAATATCCTGTCCCAAGACTCCATAATACAAGCCATAAAATAGGAAATGCATACCGACATCCATCATCGTATGTGCTTTAACATCGAACAATTTATTAACACCCATCATAGTAGCGACTAATATGACATAACTGACTATGCCGAGTGTGTAACTTAATCTGTATATAAAATAGAACCACTTATACACCAACCTAATGATAAACAATACGTATGGATTAATTATAGTATTTTAGTCAATAAGGTATTGAACAGCATTGCACTAACCTTGGTGTGGTTCCCTTAATTGGCTTTTCAAGCGCTTTTTTCACTATGAATGCTGTTATACAGGAAAATATTAGCCAAAAGAAAATAAAACGCCACCACTTATTCATCAAGCTCATTCCTAAAGGAATAAGCCACATTCCGGTCAACGTTACTAGCTGAAAATTTAATTAAATACATAATATAGAAAAAAAATCCTTCTAAGCAATTTTTATTAGACCAAACACATTAAACTTGAGTAAATGTGAAACAAAATTTGTAACCTGATATGACTTTGGTTTCCATCGTTTCCACAACACGAGGCCTATTTGAGCTACAATTACCGAAACGAAAAATATAATAAGAATTTCGGCATGCATCACATCATGTCCTTTATGCTTCGTTTCAAACTCGATCCTGTAAAAATAAATTTATTGATGAAAGAGGCAGATTATTTTTAACTTGCAAATACAAGTTAAAAATAAAAAAAAGTTAAAAATAAAAATAAAAATTTTAAAAGTTAAAAATAAAAATCTAACAATGACTAAAACCCAAATAAATATTTCCAAAAATGACTAATTAAAAAAAAATCCTATTTAGCAAACTGTCGTTTAGAAAAAGAGAAATTATAAAAATCAAATAGAGGATTATTCGTTAAATCTAGTTATTTTTTACTAACACTACTTACTACTAACTACTTACTAATAACAACTATTAATATATTAAATAATATTTATTATAAATGTATGATAAGTTTTCATAGTTTTGAATAAATTGTAATAGTAGATCATTTAGTATGCTCATGTAATCAATTAATAAAGGTAAAGATTATAAAAGATTGATTTATTGTGAAAAGTTAAACATTTTACAAAGATCTATGTTGATAATACAATCAAGAAGAGACAGTTTTGACACATCTGAGAATAGGGCACTGCAGGCTCACCCATGGAGAGTTAATGGCTAGAGAATCACCTCCTTGTGAATCCTGAAGGGAATTAGTCACAGTAAAACACATAATCAAACAGTTTGTTAAATATGACAATGCTAGAGGACAACATCACCTGGTTGGATATTTTTGGGAACGATTTCTCAAATATAGACAATCTGACAATATGAGCAGTTAAATTATTGCTCAAAATCTAGATTACTCAAGCCAACTTGATATGACGCGATTGAGCTTGATGGATTGCGCATCCCTCTGGGGGCCTCGGTTCACTGCAAAGACCCCAGATTTGGATAGGTGTGGATGTTGGCAGTGGCAAAGCCCTCAGATGAATACAATTAATTGCAGATGCGTTCATTTTTGATGAAAGAGGTGTGTCACAGGGGGTGCTTGTTCCAATGTGCATTTTTTTTACAGGTTTTACATGCATAATGAATGTTGCCTTTATTTGCTACCGAGCTTTGGCCCTAGTTAAGCTTGAACAGCTGCAATGCAATTGAGATATGTGGTGCACACAAAGGGTGTAAAATCTTATTGTAAATTACAAAAGCTGGAATTGCCAATGGACTGCAAGAAGTGACAGGGTCAACTCTGAACATGCACTTGCAGATCAGACAGACGCGCACAAACTTTTCTGGTTACCTGGTAATAAAATGTAAAAAATTAACGCACCACCTTTAAATTTTAATGTATTTACATTCATTTTGCATACCAAAAAAAGGTTTGGTTGAAGTGAAAATGTTTATTACCTATTCTAAAAAAAATGAAAAATAAATAAAAATGGAAAAAAAAACTTTTTGTCCCCTTTAATATCAAGTATTTCGACCTCTGGCACTAATCACGTCTGTTAAACACCTCTATTCCTTGGAAAAGATTTCTGGTAAAACCCTGAGGAATTCTTTGCGATTCATCAAAAACAAGCGTTTACAACTCTTCTAAGGTGTTAGGACATGGGTTTCACTGGTACTCGTCACACTTAAGGTGGTCATAAACGTGTTCGATCGGGTTCAAATATGGAATTCGAGCTGTCCACACCAAGCACTTTCCAACCTCATTCAGTTAGTCATTCACAATTGTGCTCTACACAGCCCGGCATTATCCTGCATTAGCAAGAATTTCTTATCAATGTGGGGGGTGGGGGCAAATGGCACTACACATTCTTTGATTATGTCTTCTAAGAACCTCTGTAAAGTTGCATATCTTCCTCGCACAACACCAATTCGGTGCATGTGGCCGAGGAACTGCCACGCCAAAACATCAATGACCCACTGTGGAATGTCACCAGAGGAACCATACAGCAGGGGGCATACCTTTCTCCTAAGTGTCTCCATACGAAATTACATCCATCTGAAGATTTGAGGCCAACTCTCACCACATCTATAAAGAGATCTCATCCCCAATCTTACAATGTCCAAATCACATGTTCCCGTGCGAATTGAAGCCTGGCTATTTTGTGAGCTGTGGAAAGAAGAAGTTCATGAGCCGAGTGCTGGGCCCTGAATTTATTTTCATTCAGCCTTCTTCTTATCGACCTGGAGGAAATAGAAGCATTTCGGACTTGTCTTATCAGTTAAATTTTTTATAACATTTCTCGTAATGCTGCAGTTTCGTAGAGCCTGATGACGGATGAATCTATCATCTCACTCATCCGTAGACCTAAGTCGATCCTGTCCTGGCCTTCTAAAGTGAAGCCCTGTTTCTCTGAAGCGCCTAAGAACCCTTCCTATCAGAGAGTGATTTACACTCAGTCTCCTGGCAACTTTGTGCTGGCTCAATCCTTCCTCTAATAATGTTATGACCCTGACAATGTCATATATTGCTAGAGCAATTGAAAAAGATTTAGAAATAGAAATAAGAATATCAAATGACATCAGTGAAGGAAAAAGATTAACTGAAAGCAAACTTTAGGCGTAGAAGAATGGAAGGGCATAATTCTACTTTTGTGCAATTGGGATTAACCAGAACAAAAGTAAATAAAGCATTATTTACCGTTTATTTTGACCAAGATAGCTTCTCATTACCCGAAACTAATGTAGCAAGATAATGTTTGTAATTTTAAACTAAATAAATTGAGTGGTGTGTTAAATTTGGCTATCAGTGTATATGTATATAAAGAAATACTTGGTAATAAATCAACAACAAAGCTCTTAAGGCATGAAAATATCAGAAAAATGGTTAGTTATTGATTTTTATTTTGTAAATTTATTTATATAGAAAAGATGATCAACTTGCCTATGGATCTCCTCCAGAGTCATTCCCTCTCGCGACTGTCAAATAAAAAATGGATTTTATTAGTCTTATTTCTTGCCCAGGGAAATTTGGCTCAGGAAACTGAACAGAAAACTCACCTTATTATCTAAAGTTTGACGAGTGACGAAACCCATTTTAGACAAGAAAATAAAATAAATTTAATTGAACTAGTTTAAATTGGAAAAGCGGATACCGGTTCGTAAAATAAATAGTTTGTAATTAAAATATTTCGAGTGACTAGGAAACCAGGGGAACAAAACAAACATCACCAGCCATCAGCTGAATATTTGTGTTCATTTTCAATTAGTTTATTTCTATTTGATTCCAACGCGAGAACGTAAACCGGCGTCGAAAAATTGAAAATTTCATTACAAATAAAAGTGGAAATTATTCCAGGAAAGAGGCCGTGTTAAGAAATTCAAATCAAACACGGGGAGGTAACTCAGAGTCTCTGCTCGGGTAACCATTCCAGAAGTTATTCCTCGAGGGAGGAATCAGGATTTACCGGCCGACTTCCAAGACAAAACTCAAAAGTAAAATTTCCCATCAAATCGTAGGACTTTGAAAAACGTCCAATCGGTTAAAATTGACTTTCCCGTTTCAATGAAAAATCTAAAAACTTTTCCAGCTCATCTATGTCACCGAAAATTTGTCGAAAATAGTTTTTCATATATTATGTTTCTTGACTTGTCCAATGCTTTCTGGGTGGTCGACCATGGCTTACTTATTTGGAAACTCGAAAATTTGTTCGGTTTTTCGTCCTCTAGGTCTAAATTAATATCCTTTTATTTGTCAAGTCGTAAACAAGTTGTCAAACTATCTAATAACAAAGTTGGGGATCGCGGTAGCCGAGTGGTTAGCGTGAGAGACTCTCGGCTTATAGACCCCGCGGTCGGGGGTTCGATTCCCGTCTCCTCTGGCCTTTTTTATTCAGGACCGTGACTACTATTACCTTTATGAATACTCATAATAATCGTCTCCTTGGCTAATATGCATCGATCATAAATTCGTCTGACATTCCTATTAATTCTGGCGTCACTCAATGTGCAATTTTAGGACCCTTATTTTTTTTACTTTTTATTAACGACCCTTCTTGTTTAAATTACTCCAAATTTGACTTATATACTGACGATAATCTGTACACAATGTCTCCTTCATTTAATCTCTGATTCCATTTATTTTTTATTTATACGGGTAATAGACTCAGTTACAAGTTCTATACGAGTTTAAACTATACATAAGTAATAATGAATAATTGAATCATAAATAATAATATTCATATAAGAATAATTAAAAATATGGACATATTCAACGTATCAAACACAGATAAAATATTGTGTCATAATACACATGTATATAAAATAATAAATGAAGTGAGAAGAAATGATAAAATTTTAATTCAACAACATAAATATATACACAAATATAAAGCAAATGAGAAGGAATGATTAAAAAAACCTTTATAACCAACTATAAAATCTCAACAGATTACAAAGGAGAAGAAGAATTCAGGAGAATATCAGATACAAAGGCTTGGTGTACAAATAGCTCCAAACATGTGAAGGAACAGGATCAAGCGTTTTCTGTAGAGGCCCAAAATATGAATGATCAAACTCGTTAGGGAAGTATGTTTTACTAATTTCTTGAACATAATGGACTGCGGTGAGGGTGCCCAGTTTGTCCTCCAGCGTTAATCCCAGCCCAGACCATTACACCACCTTCTCCAAACTGCACTGAAGGGAGCACCTTAAACTTCTCAAAAATGAATAGGGATATTGCCAATTTTGTAGTACTTACTTTCCTTAGCATTTTTATTTTATTTTTACTATAAATTGCATTAAAATTTATTAGAAATTATTATGTTTTTTAATGAAGGAAAATTTAATTATGGTATTTTGAAAAATAACAAATTAAAAGGTTTTAATTCCATAATGTTATTTATTGGACAATTTTTTTTAAACAATTAATACCGTGTATAATGTCCTCTGTTAGCTAAAACCTTTGTGGACCTGTTATATTGTTAATAAGGTTGTCACTAATTTCATAAGGAATTTCACTCCATAGATGCTGCAACGCTGCACTCAGTTGTTGTAGGTCAACTGCCTGCAGATGATGATAAAAACGCTTTCTCTGCAATGCATCCCACATGTGCTAAACGGGATTGAGCTCTGGCGATGATGGGGAAGGGGCAGATGGGAAATTCCCAGGTTTTATATACATTGATGAACAACCCTGCCTCTATGAGGTCTGGCATTGTCATCCAGAAATCGAAAATCCCTGCCAATGAGATCCCTGGTTCGATGGATGCATGAAGGGAGCACAAACTGGGGCATTGTATGCATCCCCTATCCTCGGTAAACTCTTTGGGGCTTGCTGCTATCACTATAAACACGACTCATCAGTAAACATAACAGTATTCTAATTGGTGTTCTCTTCTAGGCACTTGCTGCACCATATTTTCCTGAGTTGCTGGTGGCGGGCTGTTTATCCAAGTCATCTCAAAGGGGCATATAATGCCAAAACAACTTCCCATAATTGCTTGCGATGATAAAGCCCATGCCAAAACATCTTGTACTTCATTTAGGACTTGGTGGGCACTATGGAAAGGATTCCGTCTTGTAGCAATGACATTACTACATGATTCTTCTCACCCATGGACCCAAAAGCCTGCCTGTTTCATTTGGCTCATATACCATACGTTAAAACTTCCATTAACACCTGCTAACTATATCAAATAATTAAAAACTATTAAAACCTTAGTAAAAAAACAATGGATATCTAGAAATATTTATTGATAGGTTGCTAGTTAAAAGAATAAAAAAAATTAACTTTAAAAGAAACAACAATAGAACTCAGCCACCCCATCATAAATGAATCATTAAGTTTCCATTGTTTGCCACTACATTGATGAACTATCAGAAAAAGTTAGTAAAATTTTTAAACAAGAAGATTTTAAAATAGCTTTTAGGAGTAGAGGTTCACTTAAAAACATCCTCTCAAAACCTAATGACAAGGTAGACAACTTGGCAAAAAGCGGGGTTTACCAACTTAATTGTAATGATTGCGACATTAAATATATAGGACAAAGCGGTAGAGAAATAAAAGTGAGAGTTAAAGAACAAAAAATTAAAAAGGATTGACAGTTCTTCTGTCCTCCCTTAGCATCGTAATGCGCTAAGACCCAGTGCCAGGCCTCCTATTGGCACTTCGAGTCTGTCACAATCAGGCTAAAGCCTGGGACGCCTGAGAGACCAACTGCTCTGTGATATCCACTTACCCATGACCTCAATGACTCATTCTCACAATAATATTGCGAACTTCTGGTTCAAGATGATGTCTTTCCATGCTAAAGAGAATGCAACTGGATTAAAATGGAGAAATAGTGTTTGCTTACAGAAAGAGTAATCTTCATGTTTATTATTCTTAAGTAAATCTATTATTAAAAATGAGGATTAAGATTTGTTCGTTTTTGATCAGTATTCTGTATTTAGTTTTATCCAACTAACAAGAATATATGGGTTAATTTAATTAAAATTAATAGAATAAGAATAAATTACAAAATCCCTATTCATTTTTGATCAGTTTACATGCCATCAATGCTTCTGCCTTGTAAAATCTTAAAAGAGGTACCCTGACAAAAAAAAAATCTTCACAAGATCGAAGAGCCTTTAAAGCATTAGCATTAACGTTGAGACCTCGTCAGGGAGACAAGTCTGAAGTCAGTGGGGCAGTTCCCCTTTTATGTATGGAATTTTTCCACTCTGTTTGGCTGCATGATGGAGAACGATGCCATTTCTGAAATAATGGTAACATCTAGTGGGTACCATGGTAACTACTGGTGGTCACCATACTGTCAAACTGACTGCTAAGTTACGGCTAAACTCGAAGGAGTGATAGGGCTATCGGTCACCGGCATCTGAGAAAATATCTACTCAACATTCAATGATGACCCTATTTGTAGGTTATGCATTGAAGAAGAAGAAGCAGTCATCAATCTTCGAATGTGAATCAACTGCTCAATGGAGACATAACCTTGAATACAAGGAAAACCCAGGTAAAGGAATTGTAGCAATGACCTAGTACTTCTTAAGAGGATAGAGTCAATTGCACTGTACTGAGGAACATAGAAAGTACAATAAGAGGGAAAGTTGCATATTTGGGAGCAAAACTACCCACTTCCTAGTATCCATCAGCATTATCATCAAGACATAGAGCAAAACACTTTTCGCCTTCTGGTACAGATTCATCAAAACTGACAAGGATGGTTCTAACTTTTCAACAATTTTGCCAAGTATCATAAAATTCACTTAATGTAACGATACGAGTAGTGGATACCTGCCTTCGGCTGCCTCTACTCTCAAACTTTGACTCCCGGGTTTCCCAGTAGGGTTTTAAGTGTCCACTACTGGCACACTTATAACAGCATAACATCAGGGTCTTAGCCTGGCCAGCCCAGACTTGAACCCCTCGATCATTTATAGGATAACCTCAAAAGACGAATAAGAGTACGTCCATCACTTCCTGATACACTCCACAATCTTCAAAGGACTATTCATGAAGAAGGGGCTAATCTCCAGCAAAGAGACATTTCCAGTCGGGTAGAAAGTATGCTAAGGCTTTTTCGAGATGTAATTAAGGCAAGAGGAGGAAATACACCAGATTGAAATGTTAATTAAAAATCTAAAACAATTTTATCTGTCCGTCTTTTTTAAATTTTCATTTTCCTTATCAATTTAATTTTTTTTTTTACTTTTTTATACCAAGACTCAATTACTAAACATTAAAAAATGTGAAACTGTGATTAATATATAAAAATATACACAAATCAAGTTATATATAGTCAATCAAGCCTTTAATGCATTTCCTTCAGGTGAATAGTCAGCTTTATTTTCTGGAGTATGTACTGGTTTGACAGGCAATTTTCCTCCAACACCACTGTTGAAGAGCATTTCCTTCGCTCAACCTTCCTTAAGATCCAGCTCTCACAGCCGTAGTTACTACTGTGTATTCCCCTGTATAGTCCAGGTATTCCATTGCTTTAACTATTCCAACTTTCTTTGTTGTCAGTGTGGTGAATCTGCTCTTGACCATTTTATCAAGATTTGCCATTGCTCTCACCCCAAGGTGTAGACATCTGATTTTCTGGCTGCAATTAGCGTCTGCATAAATAAACTTCAATTTATATGATGTGAAAAAGGAACGAAAACAGCAAAAGATTTATAATTTCATTTCATTCAAACCTAGGAACTTAAAATTATTACAGTGTCTGAAGATATGCTGGGTTTGTTTACAATTCTTCCATCCTATTTTCATATATTTCATTTTATTTAAACTCTCTAAGGCCACTGATATGACATGTCATCAGCATACATGTCGCTAGTATGGTAATTAGTAATTAATAAATTAATCCTTCTTATGCTTTGTTGTTTATTATTGTATATTTAGGAGAGATTACATCAATAAAAATAAATTTATACAAGCAGTTTACAGGGTTTGTTTTTCTTTTTTTAACTGCTGTCTGAACTCGATTCACAAGAGGGCAATAACAAGATTTCAAAGACAACTTAATTTAATTAAAATAAAATCACATTTAAATAAAAGTCAAAACAACATAGGAAATATATTTTAGATATATATTTTTTAATATTAAAACTTAATAAATAAAAAAATAAACACTTAGTAGACTGTAATAGGTGTTTGATATGGCAACTTCAATAAACCTCACATAAACAAAAAGTTGATCGTTGCTTTCTTGTCTCCTCGGCTCATCTCATACACAGATTTAATCGTTTCTTTCTCCACATGCGGGAACATTTGTTCAAGCTGAAAAATACAAAAATACATTAAGGATGAAAAACGTCCACTGCGCAAGAACAGAACGAAAACCATCTCAAGATTAGCACATAACAATGTACAGAGTAGAGCCTAGCACTTCTCACAAACCACCGGCAATTCAAGCTTTTGTAATTTACAATAAATTACCAGCATGCTTAAAGAATCACCCACCTTGGGTGTTGGTAGTTCAAGGTCAGCTTTGATCTTTTCTGAACCACCAAAGTTGGGCTCCAGAGGCTATCAACACCAAGGTCATTAAAGAACCCAATGTAATCAGGTCCTAAATCCAAACCCACTCTTAAATACATGCCATTCACTCAGTTAGAGTGGTGGAGTACTCAACATTTTTCTATTTACACCTATATTTATTTATATAACTAATCAAATTGAACGTCGATGGGGCACTCAATATTCTGCCATTAACCTTTTTAAACTACACATTCACTCTAATAAATATATTCACTCTCAACACATGCTATATACAATATAGAAGATTCCAAGAATCGGAACCAAAGATCCAAATACTCCTGCTGGGCCTACACCCTCTCTATATAGAGCCAAGGAATGGCACTCTTCAATTAAATGGAGCAAATAGACCTTTCTCTGTCATTGTGTGTTTTAGCCAAAAGTAAATGTCCATGAGTCCTATTTTTAATTGGGTAAGGATGATAACTTTTCTACAAGTCGATCCTTTAATGGTCAATTATCGACAGTGCTCTTGATCTGTGAGTTTCTGCCAACCTGACCCTCTGCCATTGCCACCTTCTTTTCAGCATTGTTTTAATTTCTAGTGTCAGGGGGTTGCAGAGGTTAAATCCGGAGGTTGGGACATCCCAGCTTTAGCAACCTCTTCCACCTTTTCGTTACTCTCCAGACTTATGTGATTGGGTACCCAGACAACAAAACCATCTTGTCAAGATACTCCTGCTCAGACTATAAAACTTCCACTGCACAACTAAAGAACGAAAACCATCTCTAGACAGTATGACCTGAACCGGATAAAGGTAGAAGAATTTAGAAGAAAATTAAATTAATTTTACCAAACTTGAGCATCACGAATAAGCCAAAGATAAAGAAAAATTAAAAAATAGAAAAAGACTCACTGTAGTTTAAGTAATAAAAGATAAATGTTAATGCTAATAACCATTCATGTAGGCGAGGGTAAGGTTGGCCCCCCTTGCATAATTTTATAAGGTTTTTAATTTTTCCATGTTTGTGGACCAGACACAAATATGAGCACTGATGATTCAGTAGAGCCTCTGAAAAGTAGCGGGAGCTCCACATATCCTTCTAAAAAGGTAGTTCTAGTAGCTCCAAATAGTCCAAAAAGAAGCCTTTTAAACTGGAAATGACCACAACCTAATTTGACAAAACCCAACAAAGCAGCTAAAGGTATCTAGTGATATGCTTGTGCAAGATCAATTTTTGAATGGTATTGACAGGATCTCAATTGGTCCAAAAGAGAAGTCATATTAGGCACAGGGTACCTGGCCGATTTGGTAATGGCATTGACCTTGTGAAAACTGATACAATTTGTACTATGCTTGACTTAAGTAAGAGAGATTTCTTCAATTCGTCCTCATTCAAGACTACCAGACTGTGGTGCACCTTCAATACCCTTGTTCCCAGAAGCACTTTTTGAACCACTTTTAAGCAGTGCACTCACTGTTTCATCACTGAACGCTGAGCAAATTTTACGAGCTGACTCAGCCGCCCTAATACCCAGCTTGAATTCATACAATAAACATACAAGAATTATGCGTTTTGAAGCCATGAGAAAGAAATTATTTTATAATTTACAATGAAGTAAAAATTTAACCCTCCTATGTAAATAGAAATGCTGACTAACGGTATTAAAATAATAACAAATGAAAAAATGCATGAACTTTTCTTGTTACTTGGTATATTTACTTTATTTTTGCCAAATTAGCATTGAAAATCCACATCCCTCCTCAAACATCAACTGTTAGATCAATTCATCAAGCATTGTGTTTTTTCATTAAACTGACTGGCAACTTACTTCGGCCAGATCTTGGTTATTGTGTACAGGAGGAACAGCTAGTTGGGTATAAACGGGCACTGGTTCAAAATGGGGTAGGCCAAACATGTTTGAAGCTGTTGAAGGGATCATCATTACAGGAGGAGAAACATTCGAGTTCCCAAATACACACGGATTCAAACCTCGTCCTAGGCTCTGAAAATGGTAATAAACACATTTAAAATATATAAACAAACAAAATGATTATAAAACAAATTACTTACAATGTAACTCAATACAAGATTTATCCGTCCTTCTTTGCCTTCTCCTTGTTTACCAGTTAGAGGGTACCAATTTTCGCATGTTTCACCTGCCATGACGTTTTGTGGAATTGGAATGTGAGCCCATGCTATTAGTTCATCCATTGTAAAAGAACGTTCATCGTATATTTCAATGTATATGGAGTTAACACCATGGGGAACAGCGCTATTAATTTTTTTTATTTTTAATATTTTTCTTTAAAGAAATGGTCAAATAAATATGACAAACCATTGAACTTCTTTGTTCCAATGGGGATTTTTCCCTCCGTTAGGATCAGTTTGTGTTTCGTATATGCAATGGCCAACTCTTAGGCGAACGTATGGGTCCATTCTCATCATACTGTAACTTTTCACTAGTTTAGCCTATAAAATTTGTTAACATATCAAAAACAAATTGAACATCTTTAATCGGGATGAGTTTAACATTTATACAAACCTGTGCCACAGTTATGTTTAGACGGCCAGCTGTATTAAAAAACCTGTGGTCCACGAATTGATGGTGCAAAGCAATGGCGGCTTGTTGGTCAGCCGCTTCTTGTTGCAGCTGCTTTGGAGTTGTGTTGATTCTCAAAAAATCAGGAGGCAAGGAAGACAAAAGAACCTAGGAGAAAAAAATACAATAAAAAACCAGTCAGAAACTGCACGAAAATCATATATAAAATCATGTCTTATATACATACATAACAAAAACAGCTTTAAATGTAAAGAAAGTGAAGGAAAATTAATTATACTAATTGGCAAATGAAAGTAGTACAGGACTAAACACAGTTTACAAAATTAAACGAATGACTTTTTTAGTTAAGACCATGGAGGCTGAAAAGTGGTTAGGGCATCCGACTAATATTTACAATGCTAGGTGCTAGGTTCGAATTTAATACATTTGTTACAATCTCTAACCTTATTTACATTATGTAATATACAAATGACATGAATCATATGTCATGAGGGGAGTTAACAACCAGTGTTGTTTTCCCAAATATACTAGGGCTAGCCCTCGTTTAGTTGGTTGTGAGACCATCTCTTCTTCAGCCATCTTGTGGGATCATAACGGTGGTTTCTATTGGATAATTGGATAAGGATTGAGCTTATAAATTACATCACTAAAAAGTGAATGTGTGTGTGTGTGTGAGAGAGAGATAGANAGAGAGAGAGAGAGAGAGAGAGAGAGAGAGAGAGAGAGAGAGAGAGAGAGAGAGAGAGAGAGAGAGAAAACAAAAAGAAAGAAAGAGAGAGAGAGAAAGACCTTTTTAAAAAAAAAGGTTTAAACACTGCACTCACTCCATCATTCATCATTTATACAGCTTAGCCTATACAAACTTTTGAGAATTTCTTTTGTTCAGTGGATACCAATCCTCCATTCACTACTAAAAAATGAAATGCCATATTAGCTACATTTTTCTCGTGTTAAGTATAAAAAATACATGTAGACCCTTAATAAAAGAAAAAATTAAGTCATTATTATTGAATGCATATTTACTTCTACCTTTTCAATGTTTTTATTTGTACTCCAATTCATATCAGTACATATTACAAATGTGATCATATATTCTTTCATATGGTCACAGCACTAACATGAAGACCAGTGCTGTAACCAAAGGACACATGACATGAGAATCTAGCCAATGCTGGTCCTCACTAAGGGGTTAAGAGGCAAGACTTTTTATGTGAGGATTCCGCGTCAGTCTGCTTTCTAGGTGTAGTCCTAGGTATTTGACTTGAACGGAAATCAGTATCTCTGTTTTTTTTTTTTTTTTTTTTTTAATTTGAACATACACTGAGTAAATTTTTCATCATTCAGTCTTTCCTTAAAATGTCCTGAAATGTCCTTCCACCAGTCTTCGATAAGCTTAAGTTGTTTACTGATATTGGAGGTAGCATGCATAGGATTCAAGTTAGAGGACAAAATTGCTTGATCTTCTGTGCAGGTGATGATGATGGTATTGGGATGTGTAGGTCAACAGTATAAATGATATAAAGGATAGGGAACAAGAATGATTCCCTCTGGTGCCAGAAAAGTAGTAACAGGATAAAAAGAATATTGAGGTCATTGTGAATAGTTCATTGGATGTTGCATGGCTTGGCAGAATACCAGTTTCACATCGTGTGTCTAAAGTGGTTGCAGTAAAATTTTGTGTAAGGTTAGTTTATGCCCAGTTCACACAGAGGCGGTCAGTATGAGATACCAATTTTTAGTCGTTTGGGATGTTTGGTCGCTTGATACTTTTTTTTGTATGTACGCGACTGACATGACATTATGCAGCATTCACCCAGTAGTTCATAGTGTATTGAGCAGAACGCTCCATCCAACTCTTATTTCCATACGCCTTCTTTGAAACTTTTAAAAAATTGTTAGAAGTGACATTTTTGATAACGACAAACAGATTTCACTAATTCAAACAGTCAATTTAACACAATCAAACATATCCTATGCTTTGAAACAACAGTGATCGTGATTATGCAGATAAAGTTAAAAACGAAAATGCATGGCAAAATGTGGGAGAACATACATTACTCTACTTATACTTGATTTTCATCTAATTAAATGCCAAAGAGTTACAGCTTCTAATTAGTCCATTATAAAAATACGACAGAATCAAACATATAGGTCTTTAAACCACCTGGGAGAGGATCATGAAGAGATGGAAGGGAGGCAATTGAATTTAGTCGCCAGGAGAGACCTGGATACTTTTTGTAACGCATACCGGTATTGCATACGCGTCTCTCATACCAATTGCCTCCATGTGAACCGGGCCTTAGTTTTGTTGGTCAAGATGGATTTCAGTCCTAGAAATTTTCGTAGTTGTCCATGTCTTCTGTTAAGTTGTTGTATTTTAAATCTTGTGTGGGGATTCCACACCTGTCTGCTGTCTAGGTGCTGTCCTTAGTAAATGACTTGAAACCAGCTGATGCTGGCACTCATTGTCAGTCCCGAACATTAAAGCACACAGTGGGTTCTCAGGATGGGAATATGTAGAGACAGAACAAGCAGTATGGTTAGGATGGATCAAGTGGTTTATGTAAAATTTTTGGGATCAGAAATGGATCAGCTCATTGACAAAATAAATGTTGATATTGTTGTGGATAGTAAGGATATTGTCGTACTCTGAGGACTTTTGATCGGAAGGATTGGATGTTCTGAATGCCAGATGGCTTGGCAGAAGCCCACACCTCCACTTCTTATGTCCAAAGTAGATGCAGTAAAGTCTTGTGCAAGGTTCAGTTTTACCAGTCAAGATTTCAGTACTACAAGTCTTGTGTGTAACATATAGTTAAACTATCATAACTCAAGAACAACAAAATGAGAAAGAAAAAATGGCTCCTTGTTCAGAAATTACTGTGTAGACTGTTGCACAGTGATAACCAAGACTTGTTCTTGAACTATCTTAAACTTGTTATCACCTCTCAAGGAAATGAGGTTAAATTAACCAATGAATAAATTTTCAACGAGGTTGTCATTGCATGAAAATTACGTTTTAAGACTGACTATTGAAGTTTGAAGTAAAATTAGTCGATTTCATAAAATGTTTTCATTGGTGTTTCGATATGTTATGTAATGTTGTAACGTGTCAAACACCTCTTACAGACAAATAATACAGTATGCTCTACATGTCTACTTGTGCAAGTGGGTTGGAGATGTGATAGTTGTTTTTATTTATTGTTTTATAAGCGGAAAAAATAAAGTATTCCATTTCATGTAGCTTTCTTAACGTTGTCAGGTGTAGAAAAAAAATACTCGCACAAATTGAAATGAATCAGAGAGCCAAAGTGTAGAAGTAATACGTATTTACATACAACTTACCTCGTATCGAAAACAAAAACCCTTCAGAATTCTCCTACACGCCGTTTAAGAAACCCATTCTTCAAATTATAGATGCTAAACTAAACCGACAACATGACAACTCGTCTCAAAGTACAAAATTATTCCTCTGGGCGAAACGGTGTAAAAACTACTCACCACTCTTTTCCTCCTGTTTTCATTCGTGTCCTTTGCACTGGGCGACACAGTTGCCATATTTTCGTCTCCTTCTCAACGGATACGCCAGCGATGAACTTTGTTTTAATTTCGGATGATTGGGTACGACGAAAAGTGAAAACCCGACAGCTTTCAAACCTCGGCACGACCCGCACAGCACTTGTGATAAAGACGATATGGAGTATGGACCATAAGGCCACAACCCACAACTGCGTTGTCCGCCAACGCCACCACTCACTGATACTACCCACAAACCTGTTACGCAACACAAATACCCCGGGCTAATTTGATTTTTTATAATTTCTTCTGTTAACACTAATAAATAATAATAATAATAGATTCTTTCCTTTAAAAAAACTAAATGAAAATATAAAGTCATTAAAATGACTAATTATGGGGGCCCTTGTTTATTTACTTCCAGTCCAATAAATATATGGATAATTCATTTGAACCCCATTTTTTTAAAATAATACAGTGCTCCCTCACTGATCCATACTTCGGTACTTTCCAGTTATCTAAACTGGAAAAAAATGAGTGAGAGAGAGGGTGAGTGAATGTGGGAGAGAAATGTAACCAGCTAACAAAGATTTTTTTTTCTTTCTATAATGTGCTCGTCACCACACTAATTTCTGATCTTAATAAGATTATTGCATTTTGTATTTCTTAGTGACCAATTGTTTCGTAATTTGTTGTAGTTGTGAGGAGAGGTCAAGAATGAGGTAGTTTAGAAAAACAACACTTTCACACAAAACCAATATGACACCACAAAAATAGCGTTACGCTTTATGCCCTGAATAAAGGTTGAAATATCGGGAAAAAAATAAATACGTGGTATTCTAAACTACCTCATTCTTGACCGCTCCTCACAACTACAAATTATTGTGTTTAATACAGGTACTTCTATTATGTTTTTGAAAAAAAAGCCCATTTGTAATTTGTTCAGTTTGAATGCAGGGGCACTGGATTTGAACCTGGGACTTTACCTTACCTAATCTAAACCGTTGCGGCCACCAATGCCCCATCAAGTATTACCAATTTCGATTGATGGGGCGAAGAAATTCTCAAAAGAAAAAGATAAAGAATAATACTTCTGAAAAATTGAATTGGATTATTCACTTTGTAACTTTTAATGTGTGATTACCTTGATAAGTTCTTTCTCGGACACTATCACGTCATCATTGAAATATAGGTAACAAGGCATTAATTGATCCTAATATTATTAGTATACTTTCCAAACAAGTATGTTGTATGTAGAGATCATTTTGGTTTATCAGTTGTTTTTTTTTTTTTTTTTGGGGGGGGGGTCAATCTGCAGGCTCAGTACTTAAAATTTCAGTAGCTCAGACCCTTCTCACTGGCTATAGTAGGTCGCATCAGCTTTGAGCCACCAGTGCTAAAATACTCTTAATACTGCCTATCAGCAAATTTATCTGAGTACCTGAGTATTTTCTAAGTTGATTGTAAGTGACCCATGGGATTTGCAAAAGAGAAATCTGCCCCCTTTTACCCCTGCTTCAATTCCTTGTTTCACTTTGAATCTATCTTCAAGATCCTTAAGGATCAATTTGCAATTCTTAGTGTGAAAAGATGGTGTCCCCTGGGCTGCTTTTATTACTTCCTGCATATGCAAGTTCCACCAATGCGCTATTTTCACATTAACCCAACCCCCTAGTTTTATTATCAAATATTTGGTGCGCATGTTTCTTTGCCTTTTTTTCTATCTTTTCCATCTGAGCTTTTGATCCAATGTGACACTAGATAGTCTAAGGCAAAGATTTTTCTGATTCGGTGCTTTTTGGGTTTTGCTTCCTTTATTTTCCTTTGCGCTTGTTTTTTCACGCCAAGTGAGAGGCTTCGTCAAGATGTAAGAAGCAAATAAATCTGAGGAAATATGATTTAAAAATTAAATATTTCTTTAAAACATGAGTAAAACTGAAAAAAGATACAATATGACATTTCACCAAAATGGAACATACTGAGCTATTCTTGTGCACTATGGAACATATAGCATGTATAAACCATGATGCAGTGGTTCGGCTTTGGTAGTATTGTCACAGTAATATCAATATATTTTAGGTTGAGTAAGTTATTAAACACCTCAATTTATCATACAAGGTGATATTGTTCTTGTCATATTTCTATCTTTCATTCACAACACCTGAAAAGGCAGTATGCTGTAAAGCCCTCTAGTTAGACTAAAAACTTATGAGATGGTTTTATGGCATTACCAAGAAAATTCATTGTATTAAATTTTCCTACATAATTAAACGTCTTGTTAAACAGTTTTATTTCTTATTCTTTATAAAATTTATAGTAAAACCTCTTCCAATGATGATGGTGTCATCGAGGTAATACATTAACAGAAAACAGAGACATGGCTTTAATACTAAGATCTCAATGCCAGCACAATTCTAATGCAAGTTTAGGCAGAAACAGAAGGAGGATTTGGATTCTCTTCATCAGTCTTGCTCTCCAGTGAAAACGGTGGTATTCGGCAATCGAAAGTATAACCATCTTCTCTGGCCATTCTATACGTTCCCCTAGAAAATAAAAAAACATTAAGTTACAAACAACATTTGTAACATAAAAGTTACAAAATTTCAATTTAAAAACCTTACCACATGTGTCCACTTGGAGCCTGTAAACTGACATGACTGCTGTATTGAAAAGCAGGTGATGATTTAGAAAGGACAGGCTCTTGTCCCACCACCCCTCGCCCTCTCACTGTTTCCAAAGTTCCGCTTAAACTGAATATTCTCCAGTGCCTTTCGCGCAACTGTACAGTTGCATCTCCCAAGTTTTCCAAGCGAATACAATATCGCCACTGTGAACAGTTAAAAATTAAGTTAAATTTGTGGTTCAAGCCAGTGTATCTTTTCATGATGAACTGCTTTGTTAAGTTGTCATGCCGTTGTAGTAATTATTTAAAATTTTGCAAAAAAATGTAAGTGAAAATTTTACATATACCTTTTTTGTCACTTTAAACTTTCATTTAGTGGCAAACTCGAATATACGAGTATGAAAGATTATGTTACTTGTGAGATAGATGGCTTAAGGCTATGGTTACTATGGATGTGAATTCTGTCGAAATTTTGTTTTGACAGGTTCGTCTTAACAAATACTTGTTTTCCAATGAGTGTTTAATTTGGCAGTGAAATGCATGTCAGAACACGCACGATGTCATCAGAACTATTTGAGCGTTCAAACCAGTTGGATTTTTGTGTGCGTTGTGACATTCAATTTAGACAGTTTTGGTATTTCAACATGGATATAGATAAACTGATTAGTCTTGTTTTTGAGAATCAGTGTTTGTGGTACATGAACGACAAAAAATATCACAACAGAGTTATTTCTAAGCCAAAGTGGGAGAAAGTCTCTCAATAAATCAACACTAACAATAAGCCATATTTGATTAGTGGTCATAATTAGTCGTATTAATATATTATATTATTCTAATGAATAATTTTTTTAAATCTAAGATTTTTAGTTGAGATGAAAAATTAGTGTCACGAGCAGGATTCGAACCCACGACCTTCAGCTCAATATGCTGCTGCTCTAATCACTTGAGGCTATTGTGACTTTGATCCCCTCGGACACCAACTCATCTCAAACTTCCGTTCCTCAACCGCTCAAATTTTCCCTCTTTTTGCCATTTTTCAAATTTCATTTTAATTATGTTAAATTATGACCGATAAACATACATGGATTAATATGCATTTTTTTAAAGGGATTAGCAATAAGTTTGAAACTCTCCCTTCTCGTCTCTTGTGGAAAATAAGTGGTTAACATGCTCTGTTTTCCAAACCACCTACCAATAATAGCTTAATCAACAGACTTTCAAGAAAATAAAGCTCATTAAGTTTGTCCATTTTGCTGGGAGGCAGAAACGTACTATCAGAAAACACGCACAAGGATTTCGGATGTACTTGTCAGAACAAAATTTCGTCAGATTCGCTTCCATAGTAACCGTAGCCTTATTTGGACATAAAATTTGTTACTACAAATCGTCAGACTTACAGTAGGTGCTTGTGCAATCTCAAGTAATGACCTTCCAACACCTTTTAACAAATTGACTATACAGTAATAATTAAAATAGAACAATCCAAAACTATTTTAATAACAATATAATACAAATATCAAATTTTTATGACGGAAACAATCACAGAAAATACATTACATTGTTAACTAAAGTGTCTTTTAAAATTTGTATAGACTTTTTCTTTCGTATGCTTTTAATCACTTTGACAAGTTTATTATACATTCCTCTAATGTAAGGACTGCTACTTTGGTTTTTTCATAGGGGTATTTGTAGGTCAGTGCTATCTTGTATCCTTGCTTGTGATTTATACAACTTTTTAAAAACTTTTCAAGTTTTGCTTAAAGTCTTTTAATGTACAAACAGAACTGGGACAGTCATTACACCCAGTTTGTTTGCAAAGATTTCATTTTTGCTTTTGAAAAATGATCCTATATATTTATACAGATAATAAATTTTCCTTGATAATCCAGTTTTTCTATAACTACCTTCTTTTCAATTTTTTCTCTCACGATTTCTCTAAATCTCTCATAGCATTAAAAACATTTCATTTTTATTTTGAACACCACACTTTACCTCTAATTGACTAGATTATATTATATTATTCTTTGATATCACTTGAGTCCTACCTTTTAAAATGATTAAGCAAAAACAAACACATTTCCTCTCATTTTAAAATATTCTAATTTCATGCTGAACTGGCATAGGATCACTTATTGGGTCTGTCTTCACTCCCCGGTTTGTTGGATTACAAAAACGCGTTTCGGCATAGCACCATCTTTATTGAAGAACCCCCTCAGACCAAACAAGTGACTCTATGCCGGTTCAGCAGACCTACACCCATCATCATCTATTCTAATTTCCTTAGTATTTTTTCATGATCAATTGTATCAAAGGCTTTGCTTAGATCACATAAGATTATATTAGTAGTTTTTTCATCCTCAAAGCTTTGATATATTATATTAGTTACTTTTTTAACACTCCTTTCTGACATCCAGATTAAGAGGGACTTATTATTTTATTATTCTCTAGGTAAGCCCTCAATTTATTTTGGAAAGCAATTTCAAAATTTTTGGACAAAACTGGTGTTAATGTTTATGGGCAAAAACAACCTATGTTCAATACCCTTTTTTAAATATCGGTATCACTCTGCATGCTTTTAAACTTTCTGGGAATCTCCTTGACAAAAAGCCAGATTAATTAAATGGCAAATTGGTTTGCCGATTGTTTCACCTATTTCATTTAAGAAGGTTGCTAACAAATAACATTGGTTTTTATAGTCTTTATCTCAATAATGTAATATACACTAAATAAGTTTTATAAAAAACTTCTGCAAGTATGATTGAAGTTGGTTTCTTCATTAATCTTTTATTGTATTTGTCTATTAAGTTGAAGTAGTTTTGTTCTGCCATGTTCTGTATTATGTCCAATAATTGTGCATGTTAACTGTCATGATTTTTGTGTAGTAGGTGATGTATTTTGTCTTTCATTTTATTTACTGAAATTGATGGATACAGATTTGTTATGTCAATGTCATTAGTACGTATTTTTTCCTTGTCGCACTGATAATATTGAAATGTCAAAACATGCCCCTGCTCATTTTTAATTCTAAATCTTGAAAAGTTTAAAAAAAGTTGAAGTGACTCTCTAGTTCCAAGACATTTCGTTGCAGTTGACAGAAGAATTTATAATTTGTTTTCAAATGTATAATAATATGACTTACCCAGTATACAAGAGAAGACTGATTATCTCTTGATCCCATATAAAATGGAATAACTGTTATTCTAATGTTTTCTGTAGTCTCTATGTGAACATCTGATAACTCTAACCACGGATGATTCTTTTTTTGCCATGCTCGTAATGTATCATTTGCTACGAATGGAGGATCTGAAAATATATGCTTTATTAAGTGAATTTAAATAGAATTTTACGATTTTCATTCATAAAATTTCATCATTCAATTGTCTAAAACATGCCTAAACTATGTTGCTAACATTATAATGTAATAATTATGTCACACCTTTTCCAGAATTATATACTAAAAATTTATCAAACAGTTCATGATGGACGGGTTGCTTTTCACTAGCGATATAAGGCAGAATATCATCATGTGCAACATAGTCTAAGCCAGGAATCGCATACAAACTTCTACTGCCCTCCTGATTTCCTAAGAAAGTTACCGCTTCTGTCTGTGCCCTCTGTAAAAAGTATTATTAATTTATCTGAAATTATAAAAGAATAAAACTATGATTTTTTCCCCTCTGTTGTATACTTACAATATGAGGGCAGTCACGGGAATCAATTAATACTTGATAAAAAGTATGTGTTCGTCCTTTGATCTCTTTCCCATCATGATTTGGCATTTCTTCAAGAATCCTACATCAAGGAAAATAAAACTGATTTAAAAAAAATCACCTTTAATTATACAATATTTATTAAGTTACCTTTCGTGTTGAGTAGGATAATCTCGATCGTAAACTCGAGCAATCCATGGAAAGAGAACAACACCTCGATATCCAAAAACTCGATGAAGAAATACCTGCCCCGTCATATAATCATCCCCGACTTTTGGTTTTTCCAGTTTGCCAACTTCAGCGATTCTGACAAATTGTAGGACATAGAAAATAAGAAATTTTTAATGTCAGAGGACATTGAAAAAAGTTTAAGCCACATTTCAATCATCTCTTAAAAAACAAATAAATAATAAATCTTATCTACATTGAAGGTTCATTTTAAGTATAATTTTAGTTTTTCATAGTTTATGCTTATAGTAATTTTTGGGATATATTTTTGTTTCTGTTGTCCTTATTTATATACACTTATTTTTGAACTCTGTTACCTCATGTATGTATGAACATACATGTGCAGAGTTGAGCTAAATAAAATAATAATCAGTATTTATTTTGTTTTGTGGTTGTATGTTTTAAAATAAATAAAGAATATGTGTAGAGATTAGTGACCGTTAATCGATAGTTATTCAGATATCGTGAGATGCGGTCAGGTGTGATGTAGGTTTCAGAAAAACATTTTCTTTATCGTGCCAACGTTTCGATCTTTTATTGAGATCATCTTCAGGGCCTGGGATTTACANGAATACATTGCCAAATTTTGAACGGAATTGGTGCAACATAAAAGGAGAAAGAGCAATTTAAAGGGAACGCTTTGAAATTCGATGTGGAATACAATATAAATCAAGCTGAGGGTCATGTAGTGACTGAGGCTATAGGTAGGGGAACATGGTTTTAGCATCTGAAAATATTAAATTTTACACCCTCAAATGGAAATGATCGAACAGTTTACAACCTGCACAGAACTTGCAGTTCTTACATAGGGGAGTACTGCATTCTTTGAATCTCTCATATTGTAAGAGTATAAATGTCACTATGGGTTGAAAGTTTATCTACAAAAATGTATACACAAATAAAAAAAAATATACAAAGATATTATAGTCGAGGCTGTTCTAAGCCTGCAGTTATTCTTATATTTCTGAATGTTAAGTAATAATAGTAATGATATTGGGATCGTTATGATACATTGGGTTGTCCGGAAAATAATGCAGATTTTCATGTTTTATTTCCATCACCTGTATTATGTTCAATAATTGTGCATATTCACTGTCACAATTTTCTGGGGCAATGGCAGTGTGAGGAAGAGTACTATTCAGAGAAAGTTTAAATAATTTCAAGAGGGAGACTTTAGGCTTGAAGACAAAGAAGGTCGTGGAAGGATGTTCTACGAGCTTTGGTCAAAGAAAATTCCAGAACAACTGTTCGGGAACTTGCGGAGAATCTTTCAGTTAGTAAATCGACCATCACTGACCACCCTAGAGCAATTGAAAGGCGAAAAAACTTGAAAGTTGGGTTCCTCAGCCATTAAACGACTGCCAAAAAAACTATCATTATTAAGTTTGCGCAACAACTTCTTTGCAGAAAAAGGAATGAACCTTTGCTGGACAGAATTGTTACTTGTGATGAAAAGTGAATTCTCTACAATAACAGCAGAGGTTCTAGACAGTGACTTGACAAAGGAGAAGCAGTATCACATAGTACCACATTTTCCAAAGCCCCAACTCAACAAAAAGGTGATGGTGAGTGGTTCATGTTTCATTTGGATTGATTTACTACAGCTGCTTGAATCCTGGTAGAACCATCAATGACGAAATGTTTTGGCTCTCAAATTGAAACAATGCACCAAAAGTTGGCATTATTGAAGCTGTCTTTGGTCAATGAACGAGGCCAATCCTGTTGTACGACGGCCTCATGTCTATGTGACAACACGAAAACTGCTGGATCTTGGTTATTAGGTTCTGCCTCACCCTCCCGATTCTCCAGGCCTCTCGCCTATTGACTACCATTTTTTCAGATACCTAGACATTTTACAACATAAAAAAATGTATTGATCAAAAGTTGTTAAAAAATGCATTTACAAAATTTGTTAACAACAAAGATTCAAAATTCTATTTAGAGGGTATAGAGAAGTTGCCATCACATTGGGAGAAGTGTATTGAGAGTGGTGGAGGGTATTTTAATTAATAAAAAATGTTTAAATATCGTTTATTTAATTGTTTTTATTTACAACCATAAACCTGTATTATTTTCTGGACAATCCAATCGAATAATACAATAAGCAAAGGTTGATTGGAACTATCTCAAAAATAACTCTGTTGACATCTATGAATTATCAAACAATAGATGAATTAACTATCAAAGTTCCACTTATTTTATAAACAATTTCAGGCAAGGTCTGATAAAGTAATAGAATAGATTTATTCTTTTTTAATCTCTCCAATCGAGGAATTTATCAACTTAAATCAAACCTTAGCTGATTTTTTTAAATATTATTTTTATTTTTTTTATACATTGTAGAAAATTTATCTTTGCCAACTTCAGCGATTCTGACAAACTGTAGGACATAGAAAATTAAGATAATGAACAGGAGTTCAGAGGACATTGAAAAGTTTAAGTCACATTTCAATCATCTCTTGAAAATTTATCTACACTACACTAACAATCTGACCGATCTGGTGTTTTTTATATTTTCAATTTTCTCCTTAGAACAGCAAAATTTTAATAAGCCCATAGTAAATTAAAATATGAACCAAATCAAAAATACTCTCTCGAGAGTGTGAGGTTCTGTTTTCAAACAATATGTGAATCAGTTATTTATCAAATTATTAAACATTAAATTTCTAAAACTAATTTATAAGCATTTGCATACTGGAAAGATCAATAAATAAAATTGTAAAAGAGACCTGATTAAATTTTCACTTTTTCTGTTATCAAAGGTTACACTATAATAAAAAAAAGAAATTGATTGGGGCTTCTATTTTTTTACTTTATAGTACAGTAGACTCTGTTATCCATGCTTTCATTTATCTGTGGTTGCCCTCCTAGTTTTTTTAATCTTAAATTCAATTTATCTTTTTCCTATTTACATACATACCATTCGGACAGGGTGACAGAGTACTTCATATTCCTCCGTCACCCTCTACATAACTAATCTAATTGAGTGTCGATGGGTATTTAATATTCCACCATCGGCCCTCTCACACTACACATTCACACCAATAAATACATTCACTCTTAAAACTTGTAAAGGATATAAAACTCTGTTACAATATACAATAAAACAGCTGTTTTCTCCAAGAATTGGAACAGGGGACTAGATACTAAGGTAGCATCCCTACACGCTCTTTACCCTCAAACATCATACAGCCTTTCTCTACACACCTGACACATACGTTGATTTTGTACAAAAAATAAGTGCCCGTGTGTCAACATCGCATGGCCTATCCTTAATTGGGTGTAGTTTACCCTTCTTCTACAAGTCAGGTCCTCTGAAGGCTACCTATCGTGCTCTTGCTATGCCAATCTAGCTCACCGGCACTACCATTTTTTTTTGGCTGGGTCACAGTGATTAAGCTTGTTGGTTGGGACATCCAGCCTAAGTTGCCTCGTTATCTTCCAGACCTACGTGCACTTTGACAAACCACCATCCAGTTCGTGGTATCTCTCCAACAAATGCACCACAAAAGGGTTGATGGAGAACTGTCAAGTAGTGGGTGCAGGCAAGGTAATCAGAGCCACAATCGAATGATCTCAAGTGCGTAAATCTATTTAATTACATGGAACGAGTATGTCAAATCAAATAAAACCTTGACGAGAGATTCATTGGTGTTTAAAAATCGGGATAAAAATTTAAAAATTAAAAAAAAAAAACAACAGATAACAGGCAAATAATCGAAATATGAAGCTTACCTGCCGTATTTGGCATTTTGCAACAAACTGACGCTTCGTGAAACTGTCAAAAGCTGTCCTTTGGCCAATTTCGTCAAAGAATGTAACAAACCTTCCATCGGGGGTCGTTTTATTTCATTTTTAAACTTTGAAATTTCAAAAAAGAAACAAAATAAAACTGTAAAAACGGACTTGGAGAGGATGACCAGAGGCGAGACGAGAATAAAAAAGGCCTGTTCGCAAACTATCCGTGGTCCGATATCGTTCAGAATTTGAACGACGGAAACCGTGTCGTAACCTTCCCGGGCCGTCGAAAAGGCGGACGTAACGTTGCGACAATATCGTTAGGACTATTGTTACGTCACAGACATGAACCCATACAATCTGGTCCGCCGATTTCGAAACCTTAGCAACAAGAATTATTTGGACATTTACATCTGTCTATAAAAATCAAGACAAAAAAATATAAAAACGTAAACTTCCGCATACCGTCGGGTATCGTAAAAATAAAAGGTAAGCACTCTTTAATAATACATTTAAATGGATACATTAAAAAATAGGACGATAAATATTTAGCCCGGATACGCGATTTCGTTTGACCATTATGAAATTTGATTGTTTTTCTTTTATACGGTTAACAAGATTAATTAGTTCAAGAGACTTAACTCGTTATAAATTAGATTATGTTAGATTTGTCACGATTAAACTGCTTTCTGCACTGTGTTCATCAATAGACCGCGGTGGCTGTGTGGTTAGGACGTCCGACACCCGTTTTCCACGCTAGCTTTTCTTGGTTCGAATAAAAAATATAAATTAGACCTTTTCTCTGCACCCAACGATTTGGTCGTTAAGCCCTCCTGTACAACATAAAAAAACAATGTTAAATCAATTGATTATTCTTTTTATCTAAGGTCTTGGTTTAAATATTTCTCTTCTGATGCTATGGCAGTTGGACGCACATTAGGTCCTTGGCGTCCGCCGCACCCAACAGATTAACGGTTCTAACGACATACAGAGACCATGGGTCAACCATCAAAGGGTCAACCGAAGAACCAAAGAATTATTTATTTAAGAACACTTCGTCATCACGTAGGACTTATTATCCTCCTCCTTATATAGCTATCTAGAATGTTTTTATTATCCTCCATAGTTGGGTCCCCGAATATTCACTGGATTGAGCTTTGAATTTGTGACTAGAAACTTTCTCCTTATTAGGCCTGCACAGAAATCAAGTAAGCAGAACAAAAAACGTGTTCTTGAGATAGCTTTTGGAGTCATTCAACAAGTCTGCAGTATCCAGTTAGCAGTCCGACTATTATTCTAGTACTAACATGTCCACTTAGCAACAGCTCACTATTTAGAAGCTTTTTATTAGCCCCCATAGTTGGGTCTCCAGATGTTCACTGGATTGAGCTTTATTGTTTTCACCCTGTGACTAGAAACTTTCTCCTTATGAGGCCTGCACAGTAATATAACATCAACTAGCGGTTTCCTTCTCTTCTTGGCAGAACCTGGTACCTGTGTAAGATATCATCCACTATTCCCATTATTTTCATATGCCTTGAATATCTCTCATATTGAGTCAGCAATGTCCAGTCAACTTCATTAGAAGGTCTGGTTGTAATTTTTAAGCCTGAATGCCCAACCTTTGTGTTTGTATATGCTATGTGGTCTAGATCCAATTTATACTTTGCTTTCATTTTACAATGCAGAAGTTCAAGGGATGAACACAGAAAATAGAGCAGGTCATGAACACAAGGACAAAAGTTAGTCAAATTGCTCAAATTCTTTTTTTATAAAGAGTATCTACAAGGATATTATATAGAAATGATGAATTAAAATGAAATGAATTAAAAAAGATATTATATTGTTAATCAAATGAATGACAATTTGATCAGTATAGCGATTCATTTACAACATAATTACTTGAACAAAGTAATTATTATATAACTAAACAACAAATTTGTAAAATGTAAGAAACAACAAAACTGAACAAACATGTTCTTTGATATGATTGCATTCTAACTAGCCTTTTAAATGTTATACTTTTACATTAAGGCCAATTTGAAAGAAAACACTCAGTTCCTTTGTCAATCATCGTTATCGATTATTTTGTTCTGCTTACCCTCGCTATATCAGATACGTTTAGGAATTTTACCATCTTCAGTGTTGGGTGTTTATGGAGGCAGGACTGAAGATGGCAAAATGTGTATATAGGCACGATCAGTAAGGATTACAAGTTACAGGTTCATCATCCAGCAAACGACAGGGGGAAATCACACAATAAACTAAACAGTTTGGATACTAGAAAGCTGGGTTTGTGCTCCCCAGGCCCTGCAGCATTCTGGCCTTGTACCTTGAATCGTACTGTTTTATCAATACTGTGATTTATTTACAACATAATAACTTTCAAAAAGCAATTGTATACTGCTTATATATATAATATATTAGGACGTCACAACCTCACTCAAGCCCTCTGTCACAAAAAATGATATAAAAACATGATTTTAAAAAAGTGGCAGCATCGGTCAGCACTGTCAACTGGTGGCTTATGGAGGAACTGACATATAGAATAAGGGTAATCCTCACCTGATTAAAAATAGGCCATGTGCTGTTGACACAAGGACACTTACTTTCGGGCCAAAATGTGATACCGTTCGTCTACGGCACGTAGTTGCTTGCTGTGTCCCACTTAATTGAAGGGTACCATTCCTTGGCTCCATATAGAGAGCATATAGGAATGCTACTTGATATGTGAATTGTGCTTGGGCACAGGAGCGAGTATTTTGTTCCCTTGTTCCAATTCTTGGAGGATTATTTTATTGCACATAGTAATGATAGTTTTGTGTCCCTAGCGCATGTTGAGAGTGAATGTAAATTATTGGCTTGAATGTGTGGTGTGAAAGGGCTGATAGTGGAATACTGAGTAACCTGACAATCCTCTTTTATGGATGGAGGAATTTATCTCATTGAGTCATGTTTTCTTTTTCTTTGCCAATTTTCAGTTTATTATTATCATGTTTCATACAGTTCTTCATATATGTCAACTTTTAATGATTTATTAGGGTTTTAATTTCAACAGGAACCCAAACAGGTTCATTTATTCAACTATTGGGTTGTCCGGAAAATAATGCAGGATTTTGGTATTAAACAAAAAAAAAGAAACTAGTTACTTTAAAGCAATGTTCTTTAATCAAAATAATTTCCCATACTCTCAATACATTTCTCCCAACGTGTTGGTAACTTATTAATTCCGTCTGAGTAGAATTCAGAATTTTTAGAATTGATAAAGTCAATAAATGCATTTTCCAGT